GGACAAATAATATAGGCCAATTAATAATTCAAGAAGCACAAACAGGTTAATCAGGCCACCAATTGACATTTCATTCCGTTGGTCATGCTTGTAGACATTCTGTTCGCCTAAATATAACCAGATAAACAAGACAGTCAGAAACTTCCCCTGTTAAATTCAGTTTTGGTTTTGTTTCAAGTTTCACTACATCTTACAAAATGTCTTCCTCTTTTAAACTTGATCGTATTTATGTCACGTGACCCAACCCAAACCCTGTCAGGAAATTAAACAAGGCTTTTCCATTTCCTTAAATTGGATAAACCAAGTCAAGTTGCGTCTTATCTTTGGACTTAGATCATAAGCTATTACAGTTATTAAACAAACTTAGAGAAGTTAATCAAGTTGGTTTGAAATCAGAGTACATACTTGTTTCTCTGTCATATTGATAATAGTTTATCAGACAAAAATAGCCGATAATTGATTCTAGTTTTCTAAAATCTCTGTTACATTGGTGTTTTGATACAAAAAAAAAACCTCCATGTTGTCGAATTCTTGCTTTGCTCCTACGCATACAACCCTATATTGGTAAGTTAACTTCTGATTCCAAAACTTGTTGTCCTAATAAGGATTGTGTTTATGAAACATGCGTCGGTTGCATGGATGAGAATCGAGGGTTCGAACTGTAAAATATCCTCATTGATTTACTTCTCGCTTCTTTACTAAGAGTTCGCTGGCTTTGCTCAAATATAAAAGTCATCCTCAATTTTCTAAACTAACTGTCCTGTTGGTATTGTGAACGACGTCCCCTTTGATAAAACGTTATATAGGCCTGAAATAAGTTCTGCTAGTTGATCAGTGGACGAAATAGTGGTGTCATTCTTTAAAACATCTCATTTCCAAACATTGATCGGACGGCCACGAGAATTTAACGTGAAGTCAAAAAGTCGATGGTAAGTAAATGTTAAAAGTAGGAGTAAGAGATGTAAGTTCGATTGTTCCCAGTTGAATTGACTTTCTTCCAGTAAATTTAGATTGCTAGCTTATAATTTAACTTGTATAGAAATAGCTAGAAGATTTACTATTTGTCTTTGAATTGATCGCAGGCTAAAACCAACCATCGATGGGGTGGATAATCGACCAAATTCAGTCCTAATATCTTCGCTTTTCATCCGAAATATAATCTACGGCATTCAATACAGATTTCTGAAGAGCTCTTCAGTTTCTTCTGGAAAAGAAAACACAAAAAGTATCGATCACGTGTCGATGGGGACCTTTTTCTATCTTCATTACTGAAGAGTCAAATCAATGTGATTAAAACGGAAAGATGAAAAGTTGTAGATTTTCTATTTGAAATGGATTTCAATAGCTCTATGTAAATTCTCACTTTCGATTCGTTTCACCCTTACAAATTACACCCTCGTGTCTAATGCACTCTGGACAAAAGATTTTAGGTTGTGTTCGACCCACACATTGACGTGAAAAACGTGTCCAATCGTTCTGATGTACTAAAGTTTCTGTTGCTGAAGATCTTTTAATGTTTGTACATCGAAAAGAATTTAAAACCTGATGTGGACTTGATCAAAGGCTTGTTAATGTACGAATTTCGACATATATTAGTTATCTTATCTCCCGATTAGGTAACCAATATCGATAAAGGTTAAGTCCAAGCGAACTAGACGTCCACTCCTCCGATCTACATCATTGACATATGTAAACCATGTATCTCCCAGCCTGGTATATACACAGCTTTATGGACAACAACCACTTGGTTGCAACGTTTTCTCGCTGCATACGTCTGGACAACAACCACTAAATGAACACAATGAGAAAAGCATTTCGAAATATTGCACAAACCGTTTTGACGTGTTTCTGACTGAAGACAACACAAGAAGTGTGTCGAAACGTTGCATAAAAAGTTAATCATTGTTTAAAAGTCAGTGTTATATACCAGTGCGTTATTTTGGTTTAAGAATGTAAAGTCCAGTGTGTTATTATGATTCCAGAATTCAGATAAAATATGTAAATGGTGTTATCTTATCATTAAATATGTCTGCTACCGATTTTATACCAATATTATCATCTATTGAACTTACACTGTAAGAATTATCAGTCAAATATACATCAATATTATAAAACAAGGTGATGTCTGGTGTTTCCACCAACACAGGGCCTACTACATTACTGATATATAACTCAGAGTTAGGTGATGTCCATCTTCACAATGTCAAGCTATTATCAGCTCCACCTTATACCTTGACTGCAATATCCACCTTTCTTGTATCACGGAAGGTTGTAAATGCAGCGATTTGGTTGGATTGTACAATCCAATCAAATCGATGCTTTCACTGATACAAGAAAGGTTGCTATTGTAGTCAAGATACAAGACGAAGTTTTTAATATCTTGAAATTGAAACCGTGGGTGTTTAGATAAGCTTAAAAATAGTACAACATTGTATGACCCTTTAGAATTCAATCTGCCTTTTCAACGGATAATTCTAACAGTGTAGTACGTTTAAGTTTCGCCACAATTTGAATAAATTAAAAACGTCTAACGACCACAATCAGTGATTCAACACTGTCACGATATATTCCTCTTATAGTTTCTAACAGAAAGGGAATAATTTTATCAAAGACAGAATTGCTAACTATATATTATCTCAGGCGACGATCGAAGATTTCATTAATGAATTTTCTTTCAAAAAGTTTAAGATCAAAAGATCTTAAGGTGACGCAAAAAATATGGTCAGCTTTAATGCAACAAATATACATGTCTTTAATTTTCTTCGGAGCCGCGGTGGCTCAGTGAGTTTGACGCTTGCTCGCTAACCTGAAGGTCCAGGGTTCAATCCCGGCATAGGTCGAGATAATACCTTCGGATTTTTCAACCCGGTTTCCCCCTGTCAGCGATGCAGGTAAGAGGGGCTGATATGGAAAAAGCGTCTAGTTGTTCAGATGGGACAATAAACCGAGGCGCCGTGTGCTACAGGCTGTGCTCGTTAAAGATTCCTCGACAGTTAGAAATCGAAAAGAGCAGGCTAATGCACCTGTCCTGGCAAAATTTCCCCCATTGCACACTGAATGGCGTTGCCCGTCTTCATTAGTATTGTCCACATCAGTAGGTGTTTATGTTGGGGCTTCAGATATTTTGAATTAAATGAATTCATTGTCTACATATGAAGATGTGATGCCTTAAAATTTTGGGCGGAAGTCATCATCCCAGAGGAATTCATATCTACCTCAACTTCCTTCTTCTCTATACCTGTTTGAGCTAATGAAGACGGGCAACCAGTGGCTCAACTACTACCATAGGGACAGCTCCCGTCTATAAAGGGGTAGGAGGGGGAGGGGGTCCTGATAAATGAAATGAAGGAGAGCATAAGTTAAAAGAAAAATCCCGAGGAGAGGGACCCCAACCGGATATAGTCTTCTGGCCTCCACTCATCTAGTTGAGTCAATGTACTGTGGGTAACGCTATGTAAGATGTAAGAAGGACATTTTGCCATGACAGTGGGCGGCATTAGCCTACTCGTTTTCGATTTCCGACTGTCAAAGCATGTTTTTTTAATGGAATATGTTATGTCAATCAGATTTAACTTTCAAATAAGGGTCTGTAATTTAATCTTCTTTTTTTTTATCAAGTTTTATGTTTGTGCTGAAATTTCCGACTTATTAGCTTGAAGCGGAAAAAATGTGGCGAATTTTCTAAAGTCAACATATTGACAGTAATTTGAAACTGATCTTATAACTTGAAATTGAAGAAAATTGATGCATTAAGCTTTAAATTGTCTTTAATCACAGGAAAAGTCTGTAAAATCCAAATCAATGGTGAAGATTATTTTATTGAATTTAAACTAAGGTTATCTAAATCTATAACAAAACACAAGACAATATTATGGAATATAACACACTTCTTTAATAAGGTTGGGCACATAACGTTTCAACACAATATACACGTGTCATCATCAGATGTAATGGCAAGAGAATAAATCTATTATAACAGTTATCAAGACAATAGACAAATCTCGAGTTACACGTCTTTAAAATAGTACCACATGTCACTTTACGATTTGATTAAAAGAGATAGAATTATGGGGATTTTAGGTTGTAACATTGCGGTTGAGTAATGTTGCGAAAGCACAGGCCACAGGCATGCAGGCTTGACCTCTAGTGAGAGAGTATTGTTTGTGCAGTTAGTTTGAATAATATAATATATTTTGAATTACCCCCAAATGTAATTGGGTTTATGATATTCGAGATAGTGACGACATAACATGGTCAAGTTGTATTTGAATAAATCGGAATGGTTCAAAAAGAAATTATACGAATTCGGAGAAGAATAGTGGGATGTAAAACTCCATTTCATTTCATTGTTACGTAGTAGTAACGACATTTTAGAATTAGTGACGTAATAGATCTTTAAAAGAAAAAATAAACAGGCAAAGAAACATCTCTATCCAAGACAGCTGAAAAACAAAACCTAACAGCTGCTAAAATGTTACTTTGTCTCAAAGACAATTGATTAAAGAAAAAGTTTGATCTGTCCGGAAATAAACTAATTAGATTTCAATATAGTGAAAGTCGTAGCTAATACAAATTTCAATCTTTAAACTATTATACCTGACATACAAACCTATACAGATACAGATGTAGCCGACATGTTTCATTTTCGTTTTTTATATTTGTAGGTGACTCCACTTCGAGTACTAGATTACTAAAATGTTCAGACAATCAAATGCTTCCACCAATAAAAGCTTTATCAATAACTGTAAACAGCGTTTATGATTGGTTGAAACTGTGGTGTCATCACCAACTGAACATGATTTTAATGAAAATTTCTCAGAACATGGATTATGGAGTGTAATAACCTTCAGAAAAACGCAAAACGAAGCATCTAGATCAGCGTTTCGGCGGAAATATAGGCCTATCACTCTGAAAAGACCAGGGTTACAAGTTATAGTGACTGAAAGTCAGTCCGACACAACACATGACACTTTTAATAGTCCACGGAATTTCTGACTGGTTCACACAACCTCCCCGTCTCCAATATATCTAAACAGACAGATAGATAACAATATGGCCAGCAGCTGAAATGGAAAATAATTTATAATCCATTCGCCAACTCTCGTAAAACTGAATCGGAATAAGTTTCAAAGCACAAGCTGAACTCCTTGTGGATCATTTGAACACCATCCAGCAACTACTCTCGGCAATTTCCACAAGCTCACTTGCTCTTTAGTTCGTTTCCAAAAACCTTATTGTGTTTAAGCTCCGTGATTTGGCAGATGTCACAGGGCATGCTGATTCTACGGAACACCCGATGCCACTCTGCAACTAATCTCTTTCCGAAATTTAACCAAGCTAATCAGTTTATCTGGAATACTCATTACCATCAAGCGGACAAGACTAATTGATAGATTACAATACTTACAGTAAAGGCTAAAGCTGTAACACCAATAATTGCTATCAGAACAGAATTAAACTTTAAAATATTTTTAATTTTATCAAAACAACCCTGAAATGACACCGATTTTCCTAGAATTAGGCCTACATCGTATGTAAAACTTTGAGCTGCCACAATAGCATTACCCAAATCCTCACAAGCCGTTCTCTTCTTTTGGGTTTGTTGGGTAAGTTGGATTGTTCTGATGTATTTCTTCCCCGTAGAAAGTTGCCATAAAGAGGTAAGGGCGTGGGGGACGTTAGAGATATGCACAGAGTTCTATTATATTGTTGTACAAGTATAATATTAACACTTCTTTACTTACATCAGTATACAGCGCCATATTTAATACCATATCAGAATTTACTGGTGGTCCGAGACTAGGTGGACCGTTCATCTCCATGTCACCCTGGCATTTGGGGTCCTCTCCTGCTGGGTCACAACAACTCTCGGGTACATACGGACTACCTAAATATAAACGGTACATGATAGCAGTGAATATTTGCGGAGCGGGGCTCGGATTTACAGTGAGCTGAGCTTATGGCTGCTCAGTGTAGAAAATTGTATCATTTCTGGCGAAATAAAACTACCATGCACTGCACGGAAGTCAAAGAGCAAATGGCTTTCTTTTACTTATAAGTCTACTGTATATTGAGGAACAGGGGTCAAAATAAAATGCCCTGCCTACCTGGTTGAAACTGTTCATACCATCGAGTATGATAATGTTTATAAAAAGCCCAGGAATCTGTCGAGTTGATATTTCCACTTACTCCACAACACATTATCTACAAATTAGAAACTTAGAAAACTTACAGAGTTTTAAAAAGAATGCCGTTAGGAAAGTAAAAAAAAACGTGCAGATATAAGAGGAACATTCTGCCCTGTCAATAATTGTGAAACGGGGTTTTATGCTCATTCTTCTGAAACTAATGGTTTGAATGTACACAAATATATTTTATCAGATTAATTGAAAGCAAAATTTTGGGAGTTTGATAGCCACCCTCCGAGAGGACCCAGAGAAATAACTGACTTCACCCACAATTTTGTGGTAGATTTTTTGGCCAGGTTTATTTGACTTTTTTTTTTTAAATTGCATAGGATGTCTATTCCAATCGAGATCGATACCTCAGCTTTTTAATTTTGATCCTATCTGTTTGAAGCGTTCTGGACAATGTTTTCTCGACTTTACATGTCTTGTGTTTTATAGCGAAATTCGTCTAATAACATGTAGAACGTACCTTTAACTGGAGTCTATCCCAAGCCTCGGTGAAGAAATTATTTTCTCTGATATCTAAATTCACGCCATATTTATAAATTATTCTGGTCTCTAACTCGACTTGGAGCTGGTCTGTTATCTGAAATATCAAATTGTCGAGTAATCATCCTCTTTGATGGCTGATCAATCCTCAATCCTCTTGTCGTACCTCTTGGTAATGCTTCAGGTAGAAATGGCGTGGAAGATTTATTTCATGGTAGCTTTAACGTCATGGTAGCTTTAATTTCACGGTAACTTTATTAAAATCAAGGTAGCGTTAACGTCATGGTAGCTTTAATATCATGGTAGCTTTAATACCATGGTAGCTTTAATTTCTTTAATATCATGGTAGCTTTAATATCATGGTAGCTTTAATATCATGGTAGCTTTAATATTATGGTAGCTTTAATATCATGGTAGCTTTAATATCTTTAATATCATGGTAGCTTTAATATCATGGTAGCTTTAATATCATGGTAGCTTTAATATTATGGTAGCTTTAATATCTTTAATATCATGGTAGCTTTAATATCATGGTAGCTTTAATATCATGGTAGCTTTAATATCTTTAATATCATGGTAGCTTTAATATCATGGTAGCTTTAATATCTTTACTATCATGGTAGCTTTAATATCATGGTAGCTTTAATATCATGGTAGCTTTAATATCATGGTAGCTTTAATATCATGGTAGCTTTAATATCATGGTAGCTTTAATGTCATGGTAGCTTTAATATCATGGTAGCTTTAATATCATGGTAGCTTTAATATCATGGTAGCTTTAATATCATGGTAGCTTTAATATCATGGTAGCTTTAATATCATGGTAGCTTTAACGTCATGGTAGCTTTAATATCATGGTAGCTTTAATATCATGGTAGCTTTAATATCATGGTAGCTTTAACGTCATGGTAGCTTTAATATCATGGTAGTTTTAATATCATGGTAGCTTTAACGTCATGGTAGCTTTAACGTCATGGTAGCTTGAATATCATGGTAGCTTTAATATCATGGTAGCTTTAATATCATGGTAGCTTTAATGTCATGGTAGCTTTAATATCATGGTAGCTTTAACGTCATGGTAGCTTTAATATCTTTAATATCACGGTAGCTTTAATGTCATGGTAGCTTTAATATCATGGTAGCTTTAATGTCATGGTAGCTATAATATCACGGTAGCTTTAATATCACGGTAGCTATAATATCACGGTAGCTTTAATATCATGGTAGCTATAATATCACGGTAGCTTTAATATCACGGTAGCTTTAATATCACGGTAGCTATAATATCACGGTAGCTTTAATATCACGGTAGCTATAATTTTACGGTAGCTTTAATGTCATGGTAGCTATAATATCACGATAGCTTTAATATCACGGTAACTTTAATATCACGGTAGCTTTAACGTCACGGTAGCTTTAACGTCACGGTAGCTATAATATCACGGTAGCTATAATATCACGGTAGCTTTAACGTCACCGTAGCTTTAACGTCACTGTAGCTTTAACGTCACTGTAGCTTTAACGTCACGATATCTATAATATCACGGTAGCTATAATATCACGGTAGCTATAATATCACGGTAGCTATAATATCACGGTAGCTTTAACGTCACGGTAGCTAAAATATCACGGTAGCTTTAACGTCACGATATCTATAATATCACGGTAGCTATAATATCACGGTAGCTATAATATCACGGTAGCTATAATATCACGGTAGCTAAAATATCACGGTAGCTTGAACGTTACGGTAGCTTTAACGTCACGGTAGCTATAATATCACGGTAGCTTTAACATCACGGTAGCTTTGACATCACGGTAGCTTTAACGTCACGGTAGCTATAACGTCACGGTAGCTTTAACGTCACGGTAGCTATAATATCACGATAGCTTTAACATCACGGTAGCTTTAACGTCACGGTAGCTACAACATCATGGTAGCTTTAATATCACGGTAGCTTTAACGTCACGGTAGCTATAATATCACGGTAGCTTTAACGTCACGGTAGCTTTAACGTCATGGTAGCTATAATATCACGGTAGCTATAATATCACGGTAGCTTTAACGTCACGGTAGCTATAATATCACGATAGCTTTAACATCACGGTAGCTTTAACGTCATGGTAGCTATAATATCATGGTAGCTTTAATATCATGGTAGCTTTAACGTCACGGTAGCTATAATATCACAGTAGCTTTAACGTCACGGTAGCTATAATATCACGATAGCTTTAACATCACGGTAGCTTTAACGTCACGGTAGCTATAATATCATGGTAGCTTTAATATCATGGTAGCTTTAACGTCACGGTAGCTATAATATCACAGTAGCTTTAACGTCACGGTAGCTATAATATCACGGTAGCTTTAACGTCACGGTAGCTATAATATCACGGTAGCTTTAACGTCACGGTAGCTATAATATCACAGTAGCTTTAACGTCACGGTAGCTAAAATATCATGGTAGTTTTAACACCACGGTAGCTTTAACGTCACGGTAGCTATAATATCATGGTAGCTTTCACGTCACGGTAGCTATAATATCACGGTAGCTCTAACGTCACGGTAGCTATAATATCACGGTAGCTCTAACGTCACGGTAGCTATAATATCACGGTAGCTCTAACGTCACGGTAGCTCTAACGTCACGGTAGCTATAATATTTGATTGTAGCTCTAAGGTCATGGTAGCTTTAATATCCTGGAAGCATGAATATCATTGTATGTGTTTAATAGTATTAATAAATCGGAGAGAAAGGTAAATTTACCTGATCTTTAAAGATGAAACCGACGACAGCTGCAGCTATAAAAACTGTCAACAACAAACTTAAAATAAATATATACTGAAACAGAAATCAACAGTGACCACATTTAACGCCATCTTCGCAATATCAGTGCGAACTTTGTCTTATACCTTGACTAGCCACTATTCTTCTATCAAAGAAGTTTGTAAATGTAGCGATTTGATTGGATTGTACCCTAGTGAATACAGTCAATCAGAGCCCTCGAAAAAAAGCCTGAAAGTATTCTTCTTTAAGGGGGCTAAATCTAGGACGCTCTCAAAATGTGAACTTTCCCAAATTATCTAGCACACTGTAATAGTATGACCATGGTAGCTTTAATGTCATACTCACACAACACAGAAACGTTCTATTTTCTTGTATCGTTCCGCACCAACCGCAGAACGATATGACAATAATCAAGCCTCCGCCAGCAATTAGTACGTAGGAACCAGCTTCATAAAGATCTGTACCAACGATTGCTGCAACTTCTCGGGATCCAAATTGAGAAAGCAGGGTGTAGAGACCTACTACCAGAACAGCACACCCTATCAGCTGAAATCAAAACCAAATAATATAAACCGAATAAAAAAACGGCACTTTAACTTTCGAAAGCAACAAAAAATGCCTTTAGAAACTGGTCTTCTCGATGATATACTATTTCGGCGGCTTTGATTTTATTCGTTGGGATTCGATAAGGCCAAAGGACTTTTAAATTAAAGACAGTACTGATGTAAGGGAGATAACTATAGATTATTGGAATATAATGCTACAGACAACAAAGTTATAATACCCTTCATGATACACAGTAAAGTGTAATGAATTACAATTATACACCTTACTTTTCCGTTCCAATGTCGAATATAAGATATTAGACTTAAGATTTGATTTTTAAGTAATACTGAAAATAATTGACAGTTTCCAGAGACAATAGCGGACCGGTACGTGGCCCAACTTACCAGAGTTAGTATGTTGAACACCAGCAGTAGATACTTTAAGCATTTACCACAGGACGGTGCAGGCATTTTGATATAACTGTAACATCAAATGAAAAGGAGTTTAAGCTTCAATGCCATGTGTCTTAGAGGAGAGGCAGGCTCTTTCAGATAATAAGCTGATGAAATCAAATAAACTGGCAAACTGTGCTCCTGTTTTGTACAAAAGGAATTGAGTTTTATATCCGATTCTTTTTATGGTCAATTAAATGCATATTGAGAAGAAATTGCTAATATAAATAGAAGATCTACCTTACCTTTTACAGTCCTCTGAAATGATGTAATAATTACATTTAAACAAACGCCTGTTTATGTTTCAGTTGAATTAACGAAACCTGATTTTCAGAATCTAAAGTTTCAGATCTCATATCATAATTAAAATCATTTTAATAACATGAATCATCGCCATCAACACAATAATTATGTGAATTTGATTTTTTTATTTATATAAATCCGATAGACATCCGATTTCTGTGTTCCAATTGATGGCTAAGTCACACAAATTTCATTTTTTTCATAATATCTAAGTTTTTCCTGGTCGTTCTTAATATTATTTCTTATATTGTTGTACACCGCGCACTATGATATAGAATTGGAATAAATTCTCCAGATTTAGTGTTCTAATCTTTTTCCATGACTGACGAGGGCCTTCTGTCCTAAAACATCTGATCCTTGACCACAATTAAAAGTTCCCACTTCTTCAGACAGTCCACCTTCCTTTCGAGAAACTCAAATATCATCACTGACGAAGGTCTTCTTTCTGGAACGCAATTATAATCCGAATCCAGATAAGAACGGCATTAGAACTTTTATTCGTTCATTAGTGCCAAAGAAAGAATGAAATTCTTTAGAGAAAATCTGATCATTTTGATTTGAATTTTTATCAGCGAGAGGAAATCTGTTTCTAAAAGGTAAAAGTGTAACGACTTGGCGGTTTCACACTCTATTGTCTTGTTGGTCATTCATTGACACTAAAACAATAAAAACACGCACACCACAATGAAATTAGAATTGAATATTCTCGCCTCAGGGCATTACAGGTTAATTCAGAAGGAATACATTATTATAATTCAATACAGTTGGGTTTACGTGCCCCGTGTCGACCTAACAAGTCTATTACCTGCTAATTACATTTACCTTTATTTGTCTTGTATCAAACTATAACACCGCCATGTCGAGACGATGAAAAGGTTGAGAGTCGTGAAGTCTAAAGATGTTGAAAATATATTTAAAACAAGCCACCAGCAGACGTAGTTGGAAATTCTCATTCACCCAAAAACGTTTTGAAAACTAACGTTGGAATTATCATAAGCCTTATCGTCCTCTCGCAATATCATAATGCACGATACAATATCATAATGCACGATACAATATCGTAATGCATGCACGATACAATATCGTAATGCACGATACAATATCGTAATTCACGTAATCGTATAGTACGATATTGACTAATCCCGTAAATATCGATATCATTCGCCATAGTCAAGACATTAAAAACTGTGCATTTACGATATTGACGTAGCATTCAAATATTTCTGTGTACGAGATCGATTGCCCAATAATAAGGTAATTCAATTGACTCGGTTGCGTCGGCAATCTAGTCAAATACCACATCTCGTAGAACCACGTATCTTTATGACGATGGGGATAGCGAAACCAACAGAAGAACAGTAGGACAGCCTCTTCGCGTTTCGCAATCCAATTATCCTCTATGTTATCAAGAAACCGGTGTATCATGACACGCTTTGATTGGTTAAATAAGTACGAGACTGTGATAGAAAACTTGTTAGATCACTATGGAGACGAAACTTATCAGGAAAAAAAAAAGAAATCTAAGATTGGTGACATGAAGGCAATGGAGCAAAATGGTACAAAGTTAAATCCCTTTTTGTTGTTTGAACCCAGTTCCCATTCTCTGAACCCTGGTCAGAAGATCAAAGGATTAAAGGACTAGTTATTTTATTGATTTTAATTCGCCCAGCCTCTTTAAACAGCGAGAGGGATTTCATTAAGGATTTAATAAACTTTATTAGGTCTATAATAAAGATATATAACTTTCAAAGTTCAAAGGTCATCATTACTATAATTTTCTACGGCGGGGTTTTCAACCTTTTTCTTTCTAATACCCCTTTTAGGATCCTTGATCGATTACATCACCTCCCTTCCCTTATACATTTTTACTATTTCGTATTTATCTCTTTCCGTGTAATGACTATCATGAAGGGGAATATAGCCAGACTAGACCCAAAGACTAAGTTCAAAAAAATTATGATAGGTTACAAACAGGGCTGTTTATGTATTTTTTGTCAGTCGAACATTTTTTTAACGACCTGTGATCTCAATTTCCCCTTGAGAGAATGTCTATTATACCATGGCCTATCGCACAGGTAAATTTTTGTGGGTATAGAGGTGCTTTGTAATTGATAAAGAGCCCTAATATCCCCCAAAAATTACCCCCTCTTGAAAACCCCCTAGTCTACTGCCATATACAGTTGGAAATCCTCCCCTTGTCTAATGCCATATACAGTTGGAAATACCCCCTTAGTCTAATGCCATATTGAGTTGGAAATCCTCCCTTAGTCTAATGCCATATACAGTTGGAAATCCTCCCCTAGTCAAATGCCATATTCATTTGGAAATCCTCCCCTAGTCTAATGCCATATACAGTTGGAAATACTCCCCTAGTCTAATGCCATATACAGTTAGAAATCCTCCCCTAGTCTGATGCCATATTCAGTTGGAAATCCTCCCCTAGTCTAATGCCATATTCAGTTAGAAATCCTCCCCTAGTCTAATGCCATATTCAGTTAGAAATCCTCCCCTAGTCTAATGTCATATTCAGTTGAAAATCCTCCCTTAGTCTAATGTCATATACCGATGGAAATCCTCCCTTAGTCTTAATGCCATATTCAGTTAGAAATCCTCCCCTAGTCTAATGCCATATACAGTTGGAAATCCTCCCCTAGTCTAATGCCATATTCAGTTGGAAATCCTCCCCTAGTCTAATGCCATATTCCTATTGAACACGCCATTTGATTAGTTGAATGATAAATGACACCGGAACAAGAGACGCTTAACAGTTTTGTTAGATCAGGGAAAAATCTAGCAATGAAATATCCGGTTTTGATTTATAGCATAAGTCATCAAACAAGACCAAGAAATATAACAATTTTTAATCAACCAAAACAAATTTAGCATTAAACATATTAACTTAACAAATGATAGTTTTTATAAACATGATTAGAAAGAAAAAACCAGAAAAAACGGAAAATATTTTAATGCGCACAGCATTTTGCAATTTAAGTGAATGAATACACACAAAATAATATAAGAAGCATAAAACAATAACTGTCAATGTTATAACACAGGTCTCCACAAAATAAATTTCGACTTTCAAAGAAAATTCAGTAGAAAAAACTGTTTCTGACAACTGTCACTATGTATTAAATGTAAAACTAAAATAAAAGTAAAAAAAATATAAGTAGTTACGAGTAAATAAACATAAACTGGCACTGTTTAATCTTAGTTCATTGAGGAAGATATTGTGCATCACTGGACGATTCCAACCATACACAAGAACAGTCCATTTTGTCTGTAGGTAGTGTAATTAGTAAGAATAACATTATAACCTAGCATGTTTAGTTTAATAACTATTTACTCTACCTTTCTTTATATTTTGAATCGTCCCTAGTTGAAAACAAATATCTTACTTTGACTATTGTGAATATTACCTGATGAGAATACACACTTAATGCCCCTTATGATTTTCAATAATACCCCTGAAATGATCAAAGCAGATGAATAATGCCCGTTGATTGAATAATGCTCACTAAATGCACGATATAGCCCACTTGATGCACAATAAAGACACTTAATGCTCAATAATGCCCCTGCTTAATACCCATTTTGATTTAGTTTCAATAATGCCCCCAAAATGCTCCAAGCAGCTCAATAATGCCTCTTAATGATTAAATGATGGATATCAATGATATGAAAATATACAAAATGAACATGAGACAAAATTAAATTAGAAAATAGTTCGAAGAATTTCAGGCTGAATATAGGAGAGACTTATAACTTCTAATTGTACCATTCTAGATAGTGTTCATGGGTGGCACATGAGATTACATAAAACACGACTGTCATCTTCGAAAAACAAAACAAAACAAAACACAAAATTGAAGCAGAAAATCAGAATAGACATACAAATAGAAGCTGTAAGTATATGTGATACATATAAAGGCTAGAAAAACATCTTCTCAATCATTGACAATTGGAATTCAAACATTGAATTTGTTTAATTCTCTACTGTATATTTGCATATAAAGTGTGTATTATATTTGCAATTATACAGTATATGAAATGTTCTCTACTCAATGTTTATTGCAAATATGGCACATAATCTAATATCTTGTTCACTGTAATTCACACAAAAACCAACAGAACGTCAAAAAATGAAATAAGAACGTTAACTTGTACTACATAGCACTACAAAGTTTGGGCCCTTAATCTTCAAACACAAAATCTTTAAAGTTGGCTCGTCTTTACACACAGATATCTTTCATTTTTCCATATTGGTCATAGGTTCATAATGCAGTCTTCAATCTGCGATAGAGACAATAATCATTAATTTTTCTTGGGTTTCTTCTCACCACCAAGTCTAAACAAATCATTTAAGAGTTTTTGTTTTTGGTAAATAAGAGCCAAGTTTGAAAACAAAATTTTATGTACATTATTTACAGTTATACTACTACTACAACCTTAATATCCCTGAACCATACGATAATATGTTTTATACAAAACTACACTATTCCTCATCCTTTTTCGTTATTTCCTTTGGAAAATTCAAATTTTATAAAAGATGATTGAAAGCTGACATAGAAGTAATAAATTTGCAGAGCCAACATCTGGGAAATCTGGGAAAGGGCCAAATCATTTCATCAACAAAGCTCAGATTTAAATATATATATCTAAGCAGCAAGGCGTATATACTTTTAAATCTTAGTTTTTCTTCTGTCTTTAGTAATTCATAACTTTTCAGTTGCCATCACCCGGAAAAAATCTTATCTGATTCCCTTATTACTTAAAGAAAGTTGACCAAGATGGCATGCAACTGAAAAATGCTGAATTGTTACATAATATGTAACAATGGAAGAATGATATTTGTCAAAGCTCTTCGCAAACAAATTTACGATTCATTTTCTGGGTCACTGTTTTCACCATTTGCTCCTGGTAATTTTAATTCATTGGAATCATTGTCAGAACTTTTGTCGTCTGTTTCCTTTATGTCTTCATTTATGTCTCCAGAGGCATTTTTGTCATCTTCTGTAACCTCATTCTCAACATCTGTAGCCTCTTTATTATCATCAGCCTCTTTCTGAGTTTTTGAAGCATCTGCTTCAGCTTTATCAGAAGGGTTGTCAGAGTTCTTGACGTCTGATTCAGATAACAGAGCCTCACTTTCACTAGCTGTATTTTGACTTGCCTCAATCTTAACCTCTTGTTCAGATTCAGCAGCCTCATTTTCATCTTCATCAGATTCAGTCTTAGCCTCAGTTTCATCCTTTTTAGCCTCACTCTGATTATCAGCCTCAGTTTCACCACCCATATCCTCATTTTGAGAATCAGCCTCTGTTTTGTCCTGGCCTTCAGCCTCTACACTATTTGCTGTCGTATTATCTAGAATTGCTTCAGTTTGTTCATTGTCTAAAAGGAAGAATTAAAATTGGTATTACTTTAAGCAAACTTATCCTGCTCTTTTTCAAATTGTAATCTTCACAGCAAATAGGCCACTGTTTCTGTCTGCCTTTCTAAAACCAACCCTGCATCAAAAATCAGGAAGTATATCTGTCATATTGACCTATGTTGGGATCATAAAAAGCTTGGTTTTGAAAATAACTCACCTTCCTTTGGTTTCTCGTCCATCAAATCTTCATCCAGAGAATTCTCTCGTAAAAATGACACATCTTGAAACGATGCTTCTACAAAATTAAAACAATTGTTCAAATATTGTATTTCATCAATAGCATTAGCTTATAAGCAATAATATCAAACAACATAATATAGTCAAGCCTCAGTTTCATCAGGCATCATCCCCAAACCAAAGTATCATCACAACCTATACCAGGATCAAACCCCCCACCCTAAGGTAAGCAGAAATGTGTGAAAGGTGCTAAATAAATCATGTAGCCCTATTCCTATCAAATCTTACAATAAGAATAATTCAAAAGTAGGAAATTCACAATGAAAAATACCATACTATTGATTGAAAAAACTTCTAAAATAGGGTTCCGGCCCCCATAATATTTATCATTTCACAGCCAAACTAGAGGATATAAATCTTACCTAACTCTCCCATTTTATCAGTATCATTTAAATCTGACTCCATCTGTAGTTGTATTTCTAGCTGTGAGTTGGGTATAACTCGAGCAAGTCCTGTCTCTACTAGTAATTTATTTAATAATGATGAGTCTATATCACTAGAGTCTACCAGAGAAACAGAGTAAACTTCATCGTCTCCCTTGGACAGAATATAGGCTGATATCGTCTTCTCTTTTAAATAATCTGAAATAATAAACCAAGGGCCATATGACTAAATATTCAAAGTTTTCATATCTTGAAGACTACTCAGCCAACATCCTCTTGAGCCCCTCCTTGAACTTATCATTCAAGGGCAATAACTGGTCCGACAGCATGCCAGCATCCACGTACATCTTGGAGAAGAAATCTTTCTGAATTGCCACTTATTTAGAACTTGAATTGCCACTTATTTAGAACTTGATTGCCACTTATTTAGAACTTGAATTGCCACTTATTTAGAACTTGAATTTAGAACTTGAATTGCCACTTATTTAGAACTTGAATTGCCACTTATTTAGAACTTGAATTGCCACTTATCTAGAACTTGAATTGCCACTTATTTAGAACTTGAATTGCCACTTATTTAGAACTTGAATTGCCACTTATTTAGAACTTGAATTGCCACTTATTTAGAACTTGAATTGCCACTTATCTAGAACTTGAATTGCCACTTATTTAGAACTTGAATTGCCACTTATCTAGAACTTGAATTGCCACTTATTTAGAACTTGAATTGCCACTTATTTAGAACTTGAATTGCCACTTATTTAGAACTTGAATTGCCACTTATTTAGAACTTGAATTGCCACTTATCTAGAACTTGAATTGCCACTTATTTAGAACTTAATGATGTAGGCCTATTTAAAACGTATATTTCAAGCTTGAAGACTGATATTAAGGAATTCAACATAATTCTAAATCAGCTTGATATTTTGAAGATATGGATTGACTAACTCGTGTTATTGATGAAAATTTCATTCCAAATATTATGACGATTTTAAAGGATATCCATATCAAGATAAGTTACCTTTCATATACTGAACAGCCTCCTCTGACCAGGTATCACCAGTGACTGGTAGTATTTCTCCAATACGACAGATTATTAACTGTGGAGGTATGGCCACGTATTGTACAGGTATCTCAGCTATAGCACTTACAGTCAGTTCTTCATTGTTACCTACATCCACTAAATATACCTGAAAATATCATTCAATAATTCAATAAAATTTGCTTTGAATTGTCAATTTTCTGTTCAAATTTTGTGGTTGCCCGTGGTTCTGGTAATGAAAAAATTATGAACAAGAATTTAGCCAAATTGAGTCAAGTTCTTGAATTACAGGACCCACAGTCGTCCAACGAGTTATCAGAGTTATTGGTGTGAATGGAAGCTTTAAGTAAACCTCTTTGTGATCTTTAAAGTATTCAGTTTCCTCTTACCTTTACTTTGTCTTCATTAATTTCAACAATTCTTGCTCGACTCCAACCATCAGAGGTGAAAGCCAAACACGGATCTCCAACACTGAACCTCCAAGATTCATCTTCTTTCTTCTGAGTATCCCTCTTTTCCATTAACGCTTCGATACCATCCATAACTTTCTGAGTCTTTTCGTCATATTGTACAGTAGCTGAGAACATGGTAGGATCGAAGGTTTCCACATCAATGATCAGTTCATACTCTGTATCCTCTTCCAGGTCTTTGTAATCTTTTCTCGATTCCGAGGCAGATTCATCAAAGATTTGAATTTCAGGAACAGTCACGCCAAAATGGTCAAATTCCTCTTCATCACTGGACTCCACGGAGTCGTCATATTTAGCTAACGATTCCGTAACCATGGTTTCACGTATTGAAGTTTCTCCATCAAATAATTCTACAGCTAAACAATTCACCAAGACTCTTTTGACGAACATTATCAATTTTTTGTCTTTTACAAGTTCTGCAAATCTATCACAACTATTCTGTTGCCATGTGTTTCCAGGGGAAACCATGTTATGAAGACAACATCTTGCCGCTTGACTGGGAAATTTATAAAACTCATCTTTTAAGATGAAAACTTTGTCTTTAGGAACATCTTCTAAACGGCCATAATCAACTAAACGAACGCGCAAGTTTTCCTCCTGTATATTTTGAATGGCAGCTCGGTAAAATTTTCCATCACTGGCTTGAATGACTGCAATATCATCTATCGACAGGTCCTCATCAAATGGTATATTTTCCCTGCTAGAATAAGCCGTCTGTAGTTGTTCCATTCCGGACGCCAATGCGTCTGTAGCGAAGGTGAACTGACACCAGAATTTGGACGGTGATTCGGTATAACTTACTATAGCATGGATACTCTCTTGTTTATGTAGCTGGCTTGATATACATCTGGAAAAAATGAAATTTAGTTTTACTGTTTTATAGCATACAGTAGAAACTGTATTAAGAGACCAATCAAGGAATAATCAAAATAGTCTCTTAATGTTGGTGGTCAATTAAAAGATTATAGAATTAGAATAAGCACTAGAGATTTTTTTTTTTTTTTTGATCAAAAAGTTTCCTTAAATTCTTAATTCTTATATTTTAATACATTTGATCTATTTCTGCTCCTAATGAAGATGTGCAAAAACAAAGCAATTTCTCTTCCAAACACCTGATACCACTCTGCATTATGAAATACTTACTAATATGACTGACATAGGCTTAATCATATTAAGTAGATCAGAACTAAATACTCACTTTAATCTCTTGCCTTCCTCAAATTCTAAAATAGAATCCGTCAGTTCGTTCATCTTGATACGTTTAGCAGGGGACTGGGAATCAGAAAAAACACGTTTAATCTTTTTACTGATTGAGACTGGAGTATCGGCAGAAACACCATGATGTTTGTTGATAAGATCCTGGGATATAGACAGCCCTTGATTCAACAGATGAACTAAACAGTTCCCACTTTCTCCTACTTTTATAACATCAGCTACTAACTCTCTGTAATTACAAATAACAAAGCAAATAAGGTGAAATCACTCTCATATTTCAATATTTTGATATCGAGTAGGTTGGTTGAAAGGTAACAAGTTACTATTCAACAGACGGCACTGGCACTGGCACAGGGTTAAAGCAGTGTTCATTAATTGTAGAGATTAGAGTGGTTAGGTTAAGTTACTATTCAACAGAAGACACTGGCACAGAGTTAACTGATGCTAAGGTGATAAATTAAGTAATATAGTAATAGTAATTGAAACTTTCAACATTTCTAACTAACTGATGACAGTGATATAGTTGTCCAAACATTATCAGATGACAGCCTTTTATTTGAGATATAACAGTAACTTACTTGTCTTGGGTCAGTTCTGCGAATTGCTCAATGGCGTCATCAGTCCATGAATATTTGATGGGTTGAACTCCTGCTAGAGAGCATTCTACAGCCTGAATTGGCAACTCGACGAACTTGGGACATAATCTTCTCAGGGACGCGATAGATACTGATTCCAGGTTGCCATGGTCAACGTAAAATACATCACACTTGTCATCTGCTACAGCTTCTACTCGTGCACGATACCACGATTCATCTTCGCTGTACAACACCGCTACTGGTTCGTGAACAACAGGTGTCGCCACCAGTTCTTCCCCCTCGGCTAAACCATTATAATAATCGTACATCTCTGTGGTAAGTTTTTCCAGCAGAGCTACAGAGGTTTCTGGTTGAATATAAAAATCATTTGGGTGTATTGAATGACTGACTGTGACTGAAAGTCGAGATCCTTCTTTTAATTTGTTTTGTATGAATACCACACTGGTAGGTTCTGAAATGACAAGAAACAGAGCTTGAGTTTTAAGGCTTAAATGTATTATTAACTATAATCCTATGTAGTGTGCAATGAGGGGAAATATCTGCAGATAATGTAATCAATAATTTCAATTGTAAATCTTGTTTTTTTGACCAATTAAATTTCGGCATTTCCTAAAGTCTGGATACAAACTTTGGGTTAAAATTTCGTGGTCATTTATTATTCTACCTTAATATAAATGGACTTGTGTTTCCAAATAGTCAAAAGAAGCCCAAATATCTTTGCTTGACGTCAGTAGAAGTCATCAGCCACAATAACTTGGCAAAATTGTAAATTTCAGCCTACCTGGAATCTCGGAGCTCTCAACAATCTCTGCTTCGGTTTTTAAAATAATTTCCTCCACCCCCTGCCCTTCTGTCTGCTCTCTGGTGCTACTTTCAGTTTCTGGTAAACTTTCAACTAATCCACTGTCCTGTTGGTCTGTTCCTTGTGTTGTTACATCTAAATACAATAGAAAGATTACACTGTATAATTGTAAATGCTCACCCCTTTGTACTCTCGAATAAACCAGGCAAAAATATTTGCCATTGTAGATAATATACATATAGTAAGCAGAGTACAGAAATATCAACTTTCAATAAAAAGTCAAGTGCACCAAAACTCTTGTTATATCAGTCTCGATGAAGAAATTTAAATACAATTTAGTGGTTGACCAATCAGATTACTGGAATACAAAAATCATCTGGATTTTTGAGTGAAATTTTAAGAATCTATTATTTCATAGCTTAAAGTTTTATACAGTCCCTTGTAATTTGATAAATATAAGCTCATGTCCATAGTACATACCTACTTCTGCATTCTGTTCTGCAGTTTTCTCGCGTTCTTGCAAGTCAATTTCTGATTTTCTTTCCTTATTCTCAGATCCTTCTGCATCTTGATTACTGTTTGAATCAGAATCCTGTTTTCCTGTCTTGGAGTGCACCATTGTGAAAATATCATCACCATTTTCATTGACCAGTTCAATGCTGAAACCTCCGTCTGCTTGGAAAAATTTAATAATTAAAGTTTGATCATCTGTTAAATTTTGAAATTCTTTATTCACCTCTTCCGTCCAGTTTTCTAAGCCGCGTAAATTACATTTATAAGCTAGAGGTGGATGGGATATATCTTCTGCCCTCAACTTCTTGACTCTGTCCGTTGTCACTGTATCCACATTACCATAATCTGCAAAGCGAACTTTGACCTCATCACCTTTGATCTTTTCAACCTTTGCCCTATACCACATGTCATCTTCTGTGAACTTCGCTGCACAAATTTTTCCGGCAGTTAATTCGTCTAAGGGTTCACTGGATTTAGAATAATGGTCTTGAAGTTTTTCTGACAAATTGGTCAATCTGTTTTCTTCAGATTCAAGATGAACGTAAAAAGTACCATCTGATTCAATGTGGCAGATGAAACCTGGTTCATTGAATGGTGATTGTGGCGGGAAATCCAACAGAGCACCTGCATCAGTGGTGTCTGCTTTCTCTTCTGTTTCCTCAGCAACGCTTTCATCAGCCTCTTCTTGAAGGACGTCTGCTAAACTTCTAGTCACATTGACCATATAAGGAGGTATGTTTGTTACAAATTGAATGTTAAGGTCCTTTCCTTCTGTCATTTCTGTGAATTTTTGTTGTTTCTTTTCTGTCCATTTTCCTGCGTTGTTCAACTGACATTCGTACGCTAATGGTGGATGCTTCAAAAACTGATTTTCCATAAATTTCACATCTGAGGGGTTGGCTTCTTCAGCATTACCAAAATCAACAAATCGAACATGAACCTTTTCTTTCGTGATCTCCTCAACCACAGCTCTATACCAAGATTCATCTTCAGAAAACTTTGCAACGCAGGGTTGACCTTTCTGGAGGTCGTAAGCCACCTCGCTTTGTTCAGAGCTGAAATAATCCTGCAGTTCTGCTCCTAAAATATCCAAAACTTCATCATTTTTCTGCAGATGGAGATAAAATTTGCCGTTTGACTCTGTATGGCAAACTGCTCCTTGCATTAGTTGATTGTTTATCACAGGTTTTAAATATGAAGTCACTTCTGCTCTATTCAGTATTCTTGACAAATTGTGATCCTCGCAGATCAGTTGTACCAAAAATGGCGTTGAATCAGATAAAAATTTGACTGTCATTTCCTTCTCAGTGTAACTATCAAAAAGATCTTTGGCAGCTTGTGACCAAGTTTGAACTCCATCGATTTTACAATGGAATGCATATGGTGGAACATCCAAAATGTCTTCTGGAAGTTCTTTCAATTTGTCTACAGGCAAGTCATCACCGTTTCCAAAATCGACAAAATGAACATGTACTTTTGGTCCCAATTTAGTAACTATTGCTCGATACCATGCTTGATCCTCTGAAAACATGGCCGCACAGGCGTATTTAGATGTCAACCTTTCTGGAACTTCTTCTACAGGAAATTCAGCAAGTGTAGTTGACATTTCATTGATGGTTTCGGTGTGGTCTGAAAATTGAATATAGAAAGAGTTGTCTTTCTCAACATGAGATATGTAAGCTTGGACATCATCTATTGGTTTGATCTGTTTGGCAAAAACTCTCGGTCTAGGGGGATTCATGATCAAATTTGCCACATCTTTTCCACGTTTGGTTTTCACCTCAACATCGAAAGGTTGTGAACCTGAGGCAAAGGTGAAGGTCAATTCCTCTGTCATTTCATTCAGACGATCCTGAAAATCTTGATTCCAATCTGTCAAATTCTTAATTTTGCAGGGAAAAGCCTGAACCGGCGCTTTCATCATTTCCAAAGTCAATTGCTTCAAATCATCTGATCGTTCTTCTTCACAATTTCCATAATCCACAAATCTGACTGTGACCTTCGACCCATCTGCTGACTCTACTCTTACACGATACCAGTTTTTATCGACCTTGAACTTGGAAATACAAGTGAGCCCTTTCTCGACAGACACTTTTGGTGACAGTTTTGAAGCAGTTTTTCCTTCTCTTTGCATCAACTCAGCTAATTTGACGATCTCACGTTCTGTGGATGAAAGTTGAACGTAAAAAACTCCATCTGGGTCAATATGCGTAATATAACCTTTGACCTCCCCATCTGGTTTGGAAGGAAACTCATACTCTTTTGGCATTGGTGGGGCGCTAATTCTTTTGGCATGCCCTGCATTTACTAATTTATCTCCAATGTCCTCACCATTAACGGTGATGATCACTGCTGCAGACGACACAAACCCACAATTCAATTCTTGATCCAGAATCAACGTCTCTAGAAACTCGGTCGACTCTGCCGTCCAATCAGATCCATCCACAGGTGCCAAATCATCCAATGAACATTCAATACCAAAGGGTGGAATGTCTACAACTTCGGAAGGTAAAGGACGCAGGCCTTCTTTCTGCAAAAATTCAGCATTTCCATAATCAACAAATAACACTTTGACCTCTGACCCTCTGATAGTCATGACCTTTGCCCTGTACCATTCTGAATCTTCTGCAAATAATCCAGCACAACCATCTCCTTCTTGAATTTCTGGGGCTACATCACATGTACTGCAATAAGCTTTTAAATTCTGGGAAATATCTGAAAGTTGATCATCAGTTCCCGCCATTTGAAGATACAGTTTCCCTGGTGACACAATACAGCTGGCATACGCAGTGACAGGCTTACCTATTTTTACATTGATTGGCTTGAATTGGACTCTTGGTGGGGGCAGCACTGGTTGTCTTGGCAACTTAGCAGCAGACAACAACATGGTTGACACTGACTGACTGTCTTCTAAGAGATCAACTTTATGGATTGATCCGGATACTGCTTGGACTTTCAGTACTAATTCTTTCTCCTCAACTATATTTTGTAATTTCTCTGTCAAGCTGCCGTCTGCATTGTCAATTGCTAATCTGCATTGCATAGCTTGTTTTGGCAAATTTAAGAATTCTGGGCCCAGTTTGCAAACATTGGAAGGAGAGACTGTATCACAGTTGCCATAATCAACGAAAAATACTTCCACATTACTGCCATCAAACTTCAAAACTTCTGCTCTGTACCAAGCATCATCTGCGCTATATTTAGCAGCGCAAGCTGACCCTGCAACAGGGGTCATTGGCTGACCTTCACCCTGTGAGTAAAATGCTTCCATTTTTTCCATAATTTCATCTAAACTTGTTGTATGTTTAGAGAGTTGGCACCAGAATTGATGGACTGAATCAACATGAGATACATAAGTCTTTTCTAACTGTTTGGGTGCTAGACCAACAGAATTGGGGAACCCAGAGGAAGATGGGGCAGGCCCCTGTCCAGATTTTCTGCTCGCTACACCAGCTTTGATCAAATGATCTTCCACATTCTCTTGTCCAACAAATAACTCAACTACAAATTGATCTCCATCTTTGTCAAGAAATTTAGCCAGTGCTCCATCAACTGTGAAGTCATCCAATATAGTTTTGGCATCCTCGATCCACGAACTCACATTTTGGGTTGGTTGAATGTTTTTGAATTTACACAAAAGGGCCAGGGAGGGAGTTTTCAGATATTCAGGGGAAACTTTCAAAAGATTGGTCGTAGAGAGAGAATCAGTATTGCCATAATCTACGAACAAAACAGTTGCTTTTGATCCAGTCAGTGACTGAATGACCCCACGATACCACGCTTCGTCTTCTGTGAATTTCGCGAGAACTGCTTCTCCTGGTTTGACATTGGATGCACGTAGTCCATCAGTCTCACAATAATTCTGTAAATTTTCAGTCAAATTGTCTAAAATGTCTTGGTTATCAGAAAGTTGAATCCAGAAATGTTCTGGATTTTCGGTCCACGAAACAAAAATCTGAGATTTGGAAGGAATTGGTATTTGTAGTTTTGAATAAGGAACAACGACTTGACTGGCATGAGAAGATGTTGCATGTCTGGCACTGATTAACTTCTGTCCGATATCACTTCCCTCGACGGAATCAGTTAAAGTCACGATATTAAGCTGGTCCTCAATATCTAATATTTTCATTTCAATTTCTTTATCATATACTAACAGTTCGAATTCTTCTCGGCATTGGTCTGACCATACCTTGTCAGAAGGGCGGACATTTTCTAACATACATTCCAAAGCATAAAAAGGTAAATTCTGTAAGTCAGGGGTGAGAGCTCTTAATTCACTGAAATCTACATCCTCAGAATTTCCGAAATCCACAAAAAACACATGAGCTGATGTCCCTCTTATTTCTGTTATTCTTGCTCGATACCAAACATCGTCACCTTTAAACTTGGCAGCACAAAGTGTTCCTATCATTGGATTTCTCAAAACATTCACATTCTCAGGCACTTTATCATATTGAAGTAATTTTTGTGTTATCACATTTAAATCTGCATCAAGTTTCATAGCTTGGCAGAAAAATCGGCTCGGAGATTCTGCATATATCACACTAACGTCTAAACTTTCTCCCTTACGCAGTTTCACAGTAGAAATTCCTGCTGGAGTATGAGTAGAACTCATGTCTCCCATCGCAGTCACGCCATTTTGCGGTTTTGATACTGTCACTTGAACTTTATCACCACTGTTGTCAATTTGAATTTGTCGTTTTGAAAACGATACTTCTTCTTCTAAACACACACTGTTTGTTTTCACACCGAAAGTCTCGTTAATCATTTCACCAGAATCAGAAATAAGTTTCACAAGGTACATCTGGTCTTCTTTACGTTTTGATTTAAAGCAAGCTGTGAAGGACTGGGATAAAGCAATATCTTCAAATTGAGCAATATGCTCTGGGGGCCAGAATCCCTGACTAGGTGCCACGCCCGATAATGCACAGATCACAGACTGAGCCGGAAGATTTAATAAATCTGGAGTGATGGCCTTGACCTTTTGTGGCGCCACCAACTCGGTATTTCCATAATCCACAAAAAGAACCTCAATCAATTTATCTCCAGACATTCCTGAAAAGTAAAAAGATTTTGTTTATAGAAAATTTGAGCGTACCCTCGTTATATCTACCAAGACATTTACAAAAATACTAAAAGTAAATATCAAAAACCCTTAATATTTTGGTGTTTATCAATAGTTTTATCGATATGACACCAGGTAAGTTCACTGATGAATACAAAATCATTGGCTAAATTTGAGAAGTTAAAACTTATGCTCACTCCACAATGTAGTTATCTTTTATAAAGTTGATATATAACCTATATAAACATGATATACCTACCTATTATCTTAGCTCGGTACCAGCTGTAATCTTCATCAAACATGGCAATACAAGCCTGGCCTACTGAATAACACTTCAATACATGATCATTTGGTCCTATACCATTATATACCCCATGTATATGGTCCACTAATTTTGCCAAAGTATCTGTCGAGGAATCCAACTGGACGTGAAATTTTTCCGGGTTGGAAATATGTGTGATGTAAACTTTAGTTAGAGAACCTAAAACTAAGTCTTGATTCTTGAAAGGAGCCAATAAACTTTGACCTTTAGTTCTGGCTGTCATGCCTGGTACTCCATTAGGTCTGAAATAAAACAAGGAAATGGATTTTAAGGTCCTTCTTTGTAGTTTTATGCTCTGGTTTGGAATAATGAGGACAGCAATGAAGGAAATTTTGCAATTACAGTGGCATTAGATTACATCTACCTTATTTCCAACTGTCGAGAGATCTTTAGTGTACACAGGGCATACATGAGGACTCAGTTTATTGTCCCATCCAAAGAACTTTCTGTGTTATATCATAAAATTGTCATGATGCAAATAGAAGCCATGAATGGCCCAAATACACATCAAAGAGATAGAAAACTGTTTTACAACCCCTGTTAAAGTCCCTACTGTGTATGTCACATAATGGACCAATTTTTCTTTTTCTCACCTCTGACTGTACATTGTTCTGTTTTTGTCTGGTTTTAATTTTAAATCTTCAGCGTTGTTTGACTAGAAACTTCAGCACAGCATAACGATCTTTATTATTCTAAGTAGAATCTAAAAAATATAGCCACATCAACATTAAAATCTTTACTTTATGTGTTGGATATACTGGATAGACGATTTCCACTTAGTAATTCACTTTTAGATCCTGCTTTGACTTTATAGTTCAAAAAAGAAAAAAACACACAACAATAAAATACCAACAGCATTAACATCAAGTAATGTGATTGTTACAAAAACTTGACACTTGACAATTTGTTACGTAATCAAAATAAATATCGTCGATCCAACGATTGCTGTAAAAGGGAATTTCCATTTCCCGCGAAATGTTTCACTGACTTGTCACCGAAAAGGAGTTTCCCAATTCTAACGAAATAACAAAGACAAATTCAAAAGATTTGACAAATTTTTAGACAAAATAAGTGCGAATTATCATCTTCTATAATCAACCCTTTTTCAATTCATGCTAAAGGCGAATTATGAACTTTTTCTGTTATTTTATCAGAAATCTTACCAAATTCCAAGACATGTGTCTTCCATATTTTCTCGACGCATGCGCTGTAGAGATACAACCAGAGTTATCCTTTAAGACGAGGTTATCCAGACGGACAACAATAAACTAAAATTATTATAAAAAATTTTGCGGAATTGAACCCTTACCTTGAGTATTTATGGTTAATAAAAGTTTAGATATCAATCAGAAAATTCATATACTCAAGCATCCGAAAATGCAGGCTCCCCCAAAGAAGAAAACGTAAACCAGTGAATTAAAAAAGTTGACACCCCACACCCCCCCCCCCCCCCCTTTTAAGTTTTTGGCTCATTGAATTGTCTTTGTCATTTCTGTTATTTGCTAATTGTTTCACGAAAATGTAGAAAAAGAGATTCATATTTTAGGTTATTTCATTTGCATCTTAATGGTACATGGAGCCTGAAAGAGATGGTTCTTAGATCGGTACTTTTCAATGCGCAGGGGGTGCTTCAGGGTTGAAATTTTGAAGTCCTCTTGTTAATGCTTACAGCAAATTGAAGAAGTAGGATTTTATTTCAAGTTGCCTGGAGGAAAAAGTGTCCCATCCCTAGGTCCGATCCATTGGGTTATAATAAGAACTATTCATAAAGGCCCCACCCCATCGCATGCCTCTATCACATGACGTTAAAAGCACCATTATGACGTCATACAGTAACCATACATTCCTCTCAACGTTCCAGAGAGGAAGGCCGTCAAAGACGCCTTTCCACCGCAGAAATTTCGGTGAGTTTTTCTTAGACGTTAATTTTCCCCAAATGTGTGGAACAAGTCGGGGTATTAGATTTAAGTCAATGGTGGTGCGATGGACTAATTTTGTCAGTTCGTCTGACTTTTGTTCAAAAATAAATCCAATAGTCCCAAATATTAAAATCATGACAAGAACTAACTAAGTCTAAGGTCAACTCTGTTAAGATCTGAAAGGGGGTCGCAGTAAAGAGACTAGATAAATTCTATCTAGAATCCGCTTTGTATCCTTCGACATTTCAATTTCTCAATCTTGATCTCGAAAAATAAGCCTAGCCCTGGGCCCGTATGCATAAAACTTAACACCAGAGTTAAATTAACTCTGCTTGAGGCATACGCGTCCTGGTCTAGCTTATCCCCACGAAAAGAATAAAGATGTAGCTTGATGGAGCTGATCAATGGATTGCACTTTGCTAGCCAGTTGGACACGGTATGGAAACGAATCGTTTCTTGACCCGTAGCCTACACCTAATGATAGCTTCTTCTGTTTCCAATGCTCTGTATCGACATTTCTATACCCAAGCTGTACGAATAGGCGAGTTGAGGTACCCTGTGTTGCGGGATACGTACGGTAACAGCAGAAAAGCGGAGAAGCGATTTTTGGACGCAGACTTGAATAGGCTGTGGTATTAGCTTCTTCTATTTTCTAATCTATCCATAATCCATCACGGATACCGTACGACCGTACCTAGTCTAAAATAACCTTTGAGATCGTTTATGACCCAAGAATGACGGGGGTAGTTGTATTCCAGATTTCGGATTTTACAATGTATAAGTCGGTTCACAACCATAAAGAATCAACAAATTTTATTTTTTAAATTAATACACGCATATTAATATTATATACATGTATATTCACATCAAAGATAAGGCATCATAATCGGCACCAGTAGACAGCGAGGACAGCAGCCATTGTAAGGCAACAATGATATAAATTATGGCACCACCACGTAGGCTCTACAGGACGCCGACAGATATTGGCTTGCTGCTGACGACATGCATTTAAATGGCTCTAACTTTCATCAATACACAGTGTCTACTGTCTAAATAGTTCTTTATATTTAAATTATTTAACATAAAATGGACGGAATGTCAAGATGAAAAACACAAAATAATGACATGGAAGTTTTGAAATATTTGATTGTTAAAATTTTTGGATTTTCCAGTTTCCCCCCTCAGTCTTTTACAGTTTCTGCAAATTCCACACCACTTTTGCAATGCTACATGAAACTTAAGCTTACATTATTCAGTAGGCACTAGAACAAGAAAAATCAAGGCAGTTTAGAATTTTTTTACAAAGGTGATCCAGGAAGATCTTCATAGATAAAGGCACCTTTTGAAAATTACATTTTAACACAACACTTAACAATAACACGTAAACGATATCAAATATAAAAGAGCTCAACAATCTGGGTTTTCAATGACCACTTTTCACAAAAAATATTCAACATTGATGACCCATTCTTATCTTAGATTTATAGAGAAACAGGGCCAGTCGTAAGAATATTAGTAACTTGCTTCCATTAGTTAAAATGTGATTGGTCAATCAATATATCAAAGCAATGACTTCAGCCAACACCCCTTGTCAATTTATTGAACTCTACCAAACATGCATACTGTCTATCAATATGACACTGTACATGATTGATTGGAAGAGCTCATTTGTAAAATTAGGGGTGTTTTTTTGTTTTCAGTCCAATTATATACCCAGCCTTCCAAAAGTTACAAACTAACAGGTCCCTCAAAAAAATAAACCAACAAAAAACATCACAACAATATAGAGACAACAAAAGGAATAAAATTTCATCATGAAAGGCAAGATGTAATATAGGATGGATTTCAAAATGTCAGATGCATGCAAGGCAAGGTTTACAGTCCTTCAGTGCAGGACTCTCATTGGCTGTAGCTTACAATACACCCAAATCATTGCATTTACAATCTTCCGTAATAAAGTGACCAATGATGTCAAGATATTAGACAATGTTTGTATTAGCTGGGCATTGTGAAGATGATCTGCTAAATGTTGGCACAATGAATTCATAAATCAGAAGAATATAAAATGTCTAAGCAAGGAGTAAAAATATCTTGATTATTTTTTGCGATAAAGATAGCTGCCATTCATAAATTCTATCTCTGGTTTCACCTTCACCTTCTTCTTAATAGAAAACAGAAAACACACCATTTCTCCTGCTAATATCTTTAATATCAATGCACTAGCTGAAAATAATACAATCATCTTTTATAATTGTCTTATTGTGGTCTGGATTAGTCCCTTCTTAACAAGAGTTACTTCCCTTCTAGCCAGGAAGATTTGCTTGCCCTTGTCAGGTCACTTGAAGTGGGTTTAGTAGAGAGCCTGGAAAGAGCTTATGAATTAAGCATGGCTGACCTTAGACTGTGGATTTTGATTTCAATGGATCTTTTTCCATGATTGGAAACCCTTTATAGAACAGAACATAATAATAAACTTATAAGATACAATTCTGATGAAGAACCATGTCCTACAGTGTTCAATGAGGAAACTATTTTAGTACAGCACTATGTCTATGATTCACAATGATTCTTTGGTTGCCAAATGTCAAGGTGGATCTGCATTTGGTGCACTCCTTTGGTCAGATTTTGTTTTATAATGTAAGCATATTTTCATTTAATTTTTAACCAAGAAAGCTTAAATCATGATTTACTTACCTAAACAAACCCACCAAGACCAGTCTAGAGGGAAATCTAACAATACTGAAAGTATCATAAAGCATATCAATAGAACAAGTCCAAAACAACTTAGACCTTGGGTTTAAGTTTTATAAAACATCATATTTGTTAAATAATCCAAAAAATGCTTCTAACTCTGGTGTCAAGTTATCATTTTACATTTAATACTATCTCAATATTTTGACTAGAAATTAGTACTCCATCCACAAAATTGTAGTGAAATATTAAATTAAAGCTATGTGACTGTGGAAAAAAGTCCTCTACCAACTGAGTCTGATTGTTGTTTGTGAAAGGGGGCAACTAGGAGACTTACCTAAACAAGTGATGACAATATGTAGTAAAGTGACAGTAACAGCATAGTCCCAGGCTCTGCTCCGTACAATCAGTCCGTAGAATATTCCTGATAATGGAAACGTTACCAACATTGATATCACATTCACTGAAAAATAACATTTCATGTAAAGAAACAGTATTTCGCATTGCTTTACTATGACGCGTGTAAGGCCAGACAGGGTTTGTTTCTCTTCTTGACACCTGATACCACTTTACATTATGAAATACTCACTTACAAGAGATATACTTCCTCATGTGAAAAGTTCATTAGCTGCTACCAATGTTTCGCCAATATGTTGTTTTCGGATTTAGGATTTCATTTTGCAGTTTGGATCATAAGTACCCACTGTCAATTATTCTTGTGTCAGATATTACCTGTTTGTTCATGGCTGTATCCAGTACAACACTCAGTTAAATTCACCCAGGTTTTAAAATCAAACGGAATTCTTCCATCATAAACAGATAGTCTGCAAACAAACAGACAAAATTGAAAGAACTTTTTGTTAGTGTCCTTTATAATGATATAATTGATGAAGTTATGACAGAAGCCAGAATGTGAAATAAGCTACTAATTAATTTACTGAAGATGATGAGATTAATTCAAAGCCAATTTCACAAACAAAATATGTGTGGCAATAATGCTAAGCATAGTAGTGTTTTACTATATTATAGCTTCCTTGAATATAACTACCATCATAAGAAAGAATGGTAGAAAGACTTTCTCTTTGAATTACACTTCAGTTTCAGTGATTGTAGGTCATTCAACAAATGACAAGCATTGACTTGTCCATAGATATCTATTCATCCCATGGGGCATTGGAAGTTGATCAGACGATTTAATGCCAAAGCCAATCGACAATGATTCAAGAATCATTCAAAGACATTATTGGCATTGACTTACCTGAAAGATGCAAAACAAATACTACTGATGACAAAGTAGGTGGCATAAAACGTCACAAAACATTTCAGGATGTTGAATAGAATGTCCTGAAATGGAAAACAGACAAATACGACATGACTGACAAAATCCAGACCAATTGAGCAGACGATTTAAGTGATTAGTAATTAAAATAATCAAAAACTCTACCTTTGTTGACAGTTCACCCATAACATTCTTCACCCCATGACCTCTATACACCTGCGCACTGATCGATCTCCAACAACTTCCGGGTCAAATAAAACTTGACCTATTTCAGTAATGAACAAAGAACACGACAAAAAAGTTAATAGTTTAGTCAAAATCGAGCTAAACCACCAATGTTTCAACTTTGATGAATAAATTTTGTCTCTCTGTTCAATAAACAACTCTCAAAACACACATATCATGGCCTTTTTGTTTCCATTCAAATAATTTTCTCTTCTGCAAAGTTCAAAGTTATTTCCCGCCATATTTACAGCCGGTGCACTGTCTGAACATATGTAAAATTCATCCGACCCATTTTGTTTTCATTTGCATTTTCCAATAATATTCTGTGCTTTCTTCGATTATTATAATTTTACTGTCAAAAAGCCATCTTTTGGAATTCATTTTGAGAATTTGAGCTAATTTTCTTAAAATGTTTCATGGATTATTTGCAGACGCGGACTAAATAGAATTATCAACTGCGTTGTTTGGTGAGAAAAATGGAAGTTAGCGAGGGAATGTGAGGATAGAAGATGGTTAGAACAAGGCATAATCCGGTCGAGGACGATGCTCCAGAGTTGATAAACAGCGGCGGAAAGGGATCGAGAAGAGTGCAAGAACCTCCAGATGAGGTAATTAGCCTAATCCCCTGTAATCCGTAGTGATACGTGACTAAATGTCTGCACGTAACTCGACAGACACACAAAAAACAGACCACAATTTTCAGCGCAAAATCAAAACAATCATTTTTATATCGTTTCTTTGCATAAAATTTTCAACAACATCTTGTATAATTTTACACTTTAGTTGGTCATATCTTTACCCATTGGTTTCAGAAGTATTGTTGTATTCTGATTTTTTTTTTCTAATTGATGATGGATGGAACTGGTTCATAATTCCATTCATTCCATCGATTTGTTTACAAATCAGGTCAATGAACTCTATAGAGTATAATAATAAGACTTACTACAGAAACTTTTAGACTTAGAAATATTCAAGGAATATGTGTAATTCTTTAATCGTAATTCATTTATCATAGATCTATATATTTCACATTCAAGAATTTAAATCTAAAACCTAAAAGAGTTAGGCCTAGACTCGGGCAATACCTACCATGCCAGTATAGACTGGGAATATAATGTATGGTTAGGCTACTTCCAGTTTCCAAAGCATTATTAACAATCTTGCAATTATTACCAATGATGTGATATTGATATTAAATTACCAGACTACTAGAGAGAAGGTGAAAAATGACCTGGAAATGACTTGTACAAGTAAGCTTATGTAATTATAAAGCTATAGATCGGTTGACAATGAAATTTCTGACCTTGTTTTAGGATGTACAGAGTGATGAAAGTGGATTAGCTGTTATCCCACGCAGAGAAACAAGACTTCAATCTGCATTTTACGTAGAGCCCAGAATGACTAGAAGACCTCGTAGAGCTAATAGGTAAGCTTACACATCCAAATTGCTTTATATCTACCTTCAGAAATCAGGCCACGTATTCTCAAAACGATCTAGGATATCCTAGGTTCTTATAACATTGATTCAAGGTCATCTGAGGGGCTAAAATCGTTTCGAGAATACGTGGCAAAGTCACAAAGTTACAAATATGTCATTAAACTTAGATTTCATAACTTCCCTTCTGTTTCAGGAATTCTTTTTTCTATGAAGATTCAACTGAGGATGATGGTAATTTGATTTTTTTTAATTAACAGTAAATTTGTTAAATATATTGACATGCATCTGTTTCAACAAAACATAATTTAAATCCCCTGCATGATTAAAAGCATGATTTTCATGGTAGACAATGAAAAGTGATTATCAATAATCTGAAGTTTTTCATAGCATGATGTTAGCGATGTGTCGTTATTCTCAGTAGAAATATTTCAGAGAAGAAGAATAAGGAGAAGGCTACTCTTGATACGGAAATTAATAAAATGGCAGCTTTGGGTGATGATAAACAGATTAAAACTGAACAGGGTTTGATTCTAGACAGAATTATTACTCAGAGACTAACCCACTATGTTTTTCGTTTTTCTCACACCTTGATAATTTCGAAACATTCTGGAGGTGATTTAGGGTCATCACCATCATGTTTGGCACATTTATAATAGCACTATGTTTAATAAAGTTTCATGATTTCAAACACTCACCAAACACTGATGTTACCTTACTTTACAACATTATGAAAACAGCATCACTTGTAATAATGGACATGATTTAATTTGACCTCCAAATATCAGTTTTAAATGTCAATTGTTTGAAGAAAATGTAGATTTTTTTCACATATTTTTCATATTCATAAATAGCATCCTAGCATTCCTAATCTACAGTGTATATTAAGTGAATTGTAACATCAGTTTTGTGCTTTCATCACTACATTGTCATAACTAATAACTTTTTGTTTTGTGTCTTCAGAGCCACCTAGCCGGTCACGCAGAAGAAGTAGCATCATCCAAAATGGAGAACGTAAGAAATCCAAGAAAAAATACGCAGCCATTCCAAGAGAGCCTGCACCACTACCAATAGAGGCAGAGATTGAAGATGAACATCCAAGTGAACGTAGACGTAGTACACGTCAAAAGAAAACAGTCTACCCTACCCTGAATAACAGTTTTCTTGATAAAGCCGTGGTCAGCGCTAAGGATGTATATGATGGTGATGTCGGGGACGAATCTTTGACAAGGAAACGGCGCCGAGAAGAAGTGCCTGATAATGAGGATGAAGAGGAAGAAGTACCAGAAGGAAGTGAGGTAAGTTATATCAGTAATCAACTTTTATGGACCAATCTTTTATGGACTCTCCTACACATGTACTTTCCCTTTTAAGATGATACAATGTCATTGCGTTCAATTGTTAGATCAGGGTGGCAATCAGTAAGCTGTCACATCTCTTTTGATAAAATTTCTTTTTTCTTTGCAAACTATGTATAAGGAGTTGCATGGAGTTTCATTTGCCCAATATTGTGCTTAAAAGGAGGACCTATAACTTCATAATTAAAACAACATTGATGGAGTAACAGTCAATGTCAATTGCAATGTTTCAATTTGTTTCTCTGATGTCATTTCTGTGTATAGTTTCACCTCTAGTTTTGTATAATTCTCTTTATATTCTAGAGGTTTACTGATATGTATAGTCGTGTTAAAAGAACTAGAAGACATGTCAGAAGAGATATGTATGGTGTACCTATAATAGATACTGATGGTGAAACTACAGGTAGGACTAGGATTTCTCTATCAACTTGGTATTGGGTCAAGAATAAGATTATAGGACATCCTAGCGCTAATATCGCTTTGAGAATACGTGGCCAGAAGTCCACAAGGTTACTTTAAGTAATATGACTTGAGTTGACTAATTTTATGCTTGACCATTTGCAACGTCACAACACCTATTGTCTTTGTTTTCTGTCTTTTCTGTACTGTTGTTAGCAACGAATAGCCATGACCCTAACTTTATGTGACTTTGTAACAGCTGGTTTGTAATTATGTGGTCTGTAGGCAAAATTCAGTGATAAAAGAGTTAAACATGCACTTGATAAATACTGAATTGTCGAATCATGTTTTGTAGGAGCCGAAGAAGATGATGAAGAGGAAGAAGAAGAAGAAGAGATTGAAGAAGATGTGAGACAGGAAGGGTCAGATAAACCATGCAGGTCTTACTTTCTCCGTGAACATAAACCCAGAACACAGAAATATGAAGCTCCCTCTATCAGTAAGACTTTTCGATATCGTCAAGAGGGCATTGCAAGTAACTTCTTCATAGCTTGTTGCCTCTGGTATATATTCAAAATATTTTCATGCAAATTATTAGTACCTGTATTTGTTATAGATGTAGCCTCATTTATGATATGGATGGAGGCAAGAGTTAATCACATTTGTTTGAAATAGAACTAATTGACATACTTCTATTGTAGAGCCAGTACGAAGACAGCGAGATGTATTTCATCGTGATGATACTCCACCTAGATCTTTATCGTTTAGAAGATCTAAAATGTATCGTTCGCCAGCTCATAGACGTAAACATCACAGGTTTGTACCTTAGTTTAAAAACTTGACGAGATATTATCATATAAACTAGTTACCTTTCCAGCTGATAGAGCTCAATTTCAGCTCACTTTTCAGAAAGCTAATCTGTTACCTGGTTCATGTACAATTCAATAAAAATGTCAGTTAATATTTAAGATTCATGAATTTTTAGAAAGAACTGTTTTCTGCTATAGTCCCAGAATAAGTCTATGATTTAGAATTTTTGGAAGATTGCTTTAACATTTGTTTTGTTATTGTTTAAAGTTTAATGTTATTATTGTTGTGTTCATCTAAAAAAAGATTCTGTTTAAAGCACCGTTCAAATTGATGTTCTGAAATTTCTAAATTTGGGGTTTTCCTCTTTTACTTTTATGCATGTGTTTGTTGTGTTTATTTAATTCTCTAATAGCATGACTTTTAACTTACGTCCAGGTCTAACTCTCGATATCTTAACTGAGAGAGATGTTAGTGTTCCAGTCGTCTGATTGGTCTATTTTTAAAATCTATTCTAAATTTAGTTTTGATATCCAATCATTTTAACGAATTTCTTAAATCTGAAATTTATCTTAGTTCAGTTTCGAGAAAAACACCTTCAGCACTTTATAAGGTTACACTGTTTTTAGTTTTGGTATTTTTCTGTGCACATCTTACTGAAAATATTTCAAATCTGATAACATATTGACTACTGAAAATAATTGAAACAAAGTAAAGGACAAAATTTAATGAATGTAGATCAGAATAGAACAGCTTGTATTATATATAATATGCATGAGACCTTATTTCATATTGCCTACCTTTATAATTATAATTAGGTTTATTATATTGCTTATTAACAATTAATTTACTAACCATTGAATTTAACTGTTAGCTTTTTTTTATAGATAAGTCCATAAATTTGCTGGCTTTTGTATTAACAATAATTTTCTATGCTTTAAAGTTTTTGTAAAGAGGTTTTCTAAATTTTTTATGTGTATCGGGGACACTGATAGCATCAATTTGTACCATTCTAATTTTCAATCAGATGTCTGTTGTTCTTGCAATTCCATTTAAACTAAGCATTTGATCACGTCACTAATTGCAAAATATGCAAATGAAGACTTTTTGATTAGTGACGTAATAAAACCCTTAATCTGATACACATAACAAATTTTAGAAACCTCCACAATCACTTTAATACTTTGCTTTCTATCACCTTTCTGTTTGCTTTATTGCTTACTCCTATGATGTTTTACCAATGCTTAATCTGCCACTGCTTAATGCTTAATCTGCCACTGCTTAATGCTTAACCTGCCACTGCTTAATGCTTAATCTGCCACTGCTTAATGCTTAATCTGCCACTGCTTAATGCTTATCTGCACTGCTTAATGCTTAACCTGCCACTGCTTAATGCTTAATATCCTTTGCTTAGCCTTGCACTTTCTTAACCATAACCTCTTTACTGGAGGAAAAATGTTGGGTGGGCAAAAAATAAACATTTTGGCAGAGAAAAGGGGGTGCAAGCAAATCAGAATCTTTTTTCAGATGGCCACCAGGAATTGGATCTATTGAAAATGCCAATGAAAATTGTAGAAAGAGGACAGCGTTCCATGGCAGCTCAAGTACCAGTTCATCTTCCAACTCTGGTAGCGAGTCAACGGACGAGGAAAAGTTTCAGCGCCGTAAAGCCAAGAGTATGATGAAATCTAGGAACAGGTGCTTGCCGTTAAATCTAACGAAGGAAGATATGAGTGGTCTAGCTAAAGACAGGCAGAAGATTGGTGCCAGTTTGGCTGATATTGATCCCATGGAAGTGGATAGATCTGTAAGTTTAGTTTCTCAATACATTTTTTCAAGTACTCGCACCCATACAAGTGGATAAAAATTGTAATTGACAGTAAACAAGCTTGACTAAGTTGACTTCCTGGCCATCACTACTTACACTACCATAAAATCAAGAATAGATATTGTTTAAAACTTGGTTGTTTTTGTACCATGGTTTTATTTATTTATATAAATATTTAGATAACGTTTGAAAGTGTAGGAGGTCTAGATAAACATGTACGAGCTCTAAAAGAAATGGTTGTCTTCCCTTTGTTATACCCTGAAATCTTTGAGAGATTTAAAATCAACCCACCCAGAGGCTGTATCTTTTATGGACCACCAGGTAATTCAAAATTTGTCTTTTTACGAATTCAAAAGTTACTTATGAATGACTAATTGGTGGAAAAACTGAAATAAGTAAACTATATATTAACCAAACTTCTCATTGTCATAAATGCTGGTTGAAAAGACTTGGAAATCTTAAGATCACAAATTTACAGAATGCGAGTAAAACAGGAAGTCACATTTTGTTTCATGTTATTCGTTTATTTTTTAGGTACTGGTAAAACTCTAGTAGCCCGTGCTCTAGCTAATGAATGTAGTCATGGTGATAAGAGGGTGGCGTTTTTTATGCGGAAGGGAGCCGACTGTTTGAGTAAATGGGTAGGAGAATCAGAACGTCAACTTCGATTGTTGTTTGATCAGGTGGGTAGATAATATTCAGTTATTAGGGTAGGGAATATAAATGGGGATGTGGTTTTCATGAGACTCAGAATCAACAACCAAACCAACAACACCGAATCATCTAATTTGAACCAATTCAACTACCAACTACTACGACTACCAACATCTACCTAGTTTGCGATATCAGCATCCGCTGGAAGCGAACGTTAACTTGTCATCTACCTACCTACCTCATGAGACTTTTGAAAGCATTATATTTTTGTCCAATGCTAAAATATTTGCAGGTCCATTTTGCTTTCAGGATTCTACAGAACCATTGATGTCTGTCTCAAGAGAAATTATAATAGTAAGATATCTATTACCATGTTGAATTAATTTGAATAATTTTATTTTCTGTTTCAGGCGTATCAAGCTCGGCCTTCTATAATATTTTTTGATGAAATTGACGGCTTAGCTCCAGTACGATCGAGTAGACAAGATCAAATCCACAGCTCTATAGTGTCCACATTGTTAGCTTTAATGGATGGACTGGATAATCGAGGTGAAGTTGTAGTCATTGGTGCTACTAATAGGATAGACTCCATTGATCCAGCCTTACGACGGCCAGGAAGATTTGATAGAGAGTTTCTCTTTCCTTTGCCGTCTCTTTCGGTAAGATAACTTTTATAAACGTACTTTCTCCATTTTGATATTTACAGCCCTGATTTCAGTGATCATAAAAGTGGCTTATTCAGAAAAATTAAAACATTAAAATTTGTGTTTCTGTTGTAGGCAAGGAGACAGATATTGACAATTCATACTAAAGGCTGGAGTCCGAAATTATCACCCGAATTTATAGCAGAGCTGGGAGAGAAGTGTGTTGGTAAGATAGTTAATGATATTTATCTTAAAGTAACAAGTTACATATCTGGGACTATCACTCAGGGAAACAGTTAATTGTTAATTTGTAGAACAAGAAAAAGAACAAAATTGAGAACCTGTGAGCCGAAAGCTTTGTATAGGAGGCCCCCTTACAGTCAAATATAGTCTTCTTTGTACACAGACATTAATGGTGTCTTTGATACTTCCTAAACTAGTTCTTATAATAACTATATGTATCTTTCCTGGATTCAAAACAATGATATTTTTCATTTGAATAATAAAAAAAGCTTGCAAACTTTATTCGTAACTGAATCAAGAAAGTGCCCTTTTTTTTTTTAAGAATTTGGTTTTCTTTCTACAGGATATTGTGGTGCTGATATGAAAGCGTTGTGTACAGAAGCAACTTTATCAGCCTTGAGACGTAGATATCCACAGATATACAAATCTTCAGAGAAACTTCAACTTAATGTTAATTCCATCAACTTGGCAGCACAAGATTTTTTTCAAGCAATGAAGACTATCGTACCTACTGCTCAACGTTCCGTTGCTTCACCAGGAAGATGCTTAAGTCCACTGCTTCGACCATTATTGCAGCGAATGCAGAATCAAACTTTACGCATGCTCCAAGATACATTTCCATCCATACTTGCTCAACTGTCATCTCTAGACTCTCCTGGTATGTGAAATTAATGTTTCTTATATTTTTTCTATGTATACCACTTTACATTCGTCGGCCGAGTTGTGGCTCTTTTGAAACTGACAAAAACTTAACAGGATTGTAAAGAGGATTTCGTAACTTTTAATATGTATGTCAATTGTCAGTCATAATCATTGGTTCTTCCACGAAAACTAAGGCCCTACTCGATTACAAAAAATCCGAAACCAGTTTGGTACATCAGATTTGTGTTGTAAGTGAAACAGATTCAAAAAGCAAGACTAATTTAAAATTATAAGTGCCCTATGAATGATGACGCCATCTTGAATCTGACGAATCCGCCCTAGGAGGTGGATTCACGTATTAGAAATCCGGATTCGAATTCAGGGCAAACCGTTGTAAACGAGTGACTAGGATTCAGAATCCAGTTTAAGATTGGTTGTAAACGAGTAGGGTCTAAGTGTTTTATAACATCACTATTGTAAAAACTGTCAATAATAAATATATTAAGACCTCTCTTATGAGAGAGAAACAATTAAATATAATTTATATGATTGGGTTTGATTTTAAAATATTAAATTGTCTGTTAATTTTCAGGTAAAAATGGAACTGGAAGTGATAATGAATTAAGTTTTGATGATTTATATGAGGAAGATGATGGAGATGAACACAGTATTTACGAGAAACGTGGTAATCAACAACATCGACAATCTAATCTACCTCCATCATTTATGTCTTTTACAAGGTTTGTTTATTTTTATAAGAATAACGTTGTGCACATTTATTACCAAACAAAACAATGGCGGTTCTTTATTGCCAGGTCCAGACTAAAGCATACCACTTGCTTTCTTGCTGAAATAACTGGATTGGTACTATCACGGTTTTTTCTCATATAGCTAGTATATCAAAACTTGTGCCATGGATTGTTTCTGTGATCTGAATTGGACTGGAGCATTCCAAACTATGGTACCAGTATCTAACAGAAACGGCAGTTTTCTTTAGGCAGAAATTGTAACCATAAAATGAACAACCTTTTTTTTCTGAAACTAGATTTGAGCCAAAATCAACTCTTGATTTTATTCATCTCTTTCCAGTTGTTCATATCAACAACCGACAACATTCCGACCTCGATTGATGATATCTGGGTCAGTAGGTCAAGGTCAAACCAGCCATCTGGGACCAGCCATATTACATCATTTAGAACAATTACCAGTTCATGTCCTAGATTTACCTACCCTGTATGCTGTTAGTGCTAAAACACCAGAAGAATCCTGTGCACAGGTGAGTTGATTCTTTAATCTTTTAATCTTTTCATTCATCAGTGACAGAATTTAGAGTTAGAATTAGAGAGTGATTTGTTACCTTGGATGGCGCTAGTATGGGAGACTTCTGAACAGGTTTCTGACCTCAATTGAACGGTATAGAACTCCTTCTTTCCCCTTTCCGCCATTTTGAATTCTGCCCTCATCGAGCAGCCCCTTCTAATTTATCCACTATGTTTAAAACAGCATTTATTCTTTCGATTTACTCAGTTATTTCATGGGAAGTCATTATAAAGTAGGACGTAAAACTCAATCATTAATATGATATTAATTACAGGTATTTCAAGAAGCGAGACGTACTGCCCCGAGTATAATATATCTACCAGTTATTAATCAATGGTGGGAGGTAGTCAGTGATACAGTACGAGCTACATTTATTACTCTGATACAGAATCTCTCACCTAGCTCCCCGTTATTAATGTTAGCTACATCAGAAACTACCCATCATCATCTACACTCTACTGTAAGTTACTTCTAACATTGTTTCTAGGACATCATAGTGCGGAGATCGTTTCGATAATACTGGACTAGTATCCTATTTTACAAAACATATATATAAGATAAACATACCACAGCCATGATTATGTGTTATATTATACGTATGCGGCTAGTGAAGCATGTGACTAGGTGACGCTACCAATATATGCCTGTTGAACACTTTACGTTAGGGGTATATATGCCATTTTCTTTCACTTACACTCAGTGTTCAAACAGTTTAGAAACGCAGTAATCTGATTGGATAATGAATCTAAATTTAAAGCCTATTTGATAGTAATTGACCAATCAGATGACTTGAACACTAAAATCTTGGGTTAGGTTTGAGAATAAGGCCCATTATCCAATTAAATTTATAAACATTGGGTTTTGTTTTCAGCTTCAGGGATTATTTGATATGAGATCTCAGGAAGTTATACAGATGTCGAATCCGAACCAAGAGGAGAGACGAGAATATTATCATGATATCATAATAAATCAAACAAACAAACCACCAACATCAAAACATTCAGGTTAGATATATTCTGATTGATTTCAATATTTTATTTCCATGTAACATAATATAATAGTCACGTTTCCCTAGATATCTTAGAATTAATTCTGTTGTAAATGTATAATTCAACACTTACTGCAAATTCTTACCATAAGATTTCTTGTGGCACCTGGCCCAGATTTTTATAATAACTAATTAACTTATAGATGAGTTTTCAAAGTCAACAATATTCCTTACTTGTAAAAATATAGATAAAAAAAAAAAAGATTAATTCAAAATGAAATGTATGTCTTTCAGCTCGTAGAAGTTTAGAAGTCTTGCCAATAGCACCGCCTCCAAAACCAAAAACTCTGTCAGAAAGTGAACTGAGAAAATTGAAACATCAAGAAGAAAGTACACTAAGAGAACTTAGAATATTTTTACGAGATGTTTTAACTAAGTTAGGACGTGATAGAAAGTTTTCAATGTTTACCAAACCTGTCGACTTGGAAGAGGTACTTTATACTTTTGTTTTATCTTTGTCCAAAAAAACTGAACGTTTAATAAAACAAGTTGAAACAGAGCTCAGAATGCGTTCTACATGTGCTGAAAAAATAGTTGGTGTAGACAGAATTCAAAATGGTTGAGAAAGGAATAGAATGTTATATTTTGAATGTGACATATTTAGTTCTGTATTGTTTGACTGACGCCTTGAATTGGAACAACTTATATCTTGTGTTAAGTTAACTAATATTTTACCAATTTCTCTCATATTGAAACATTATGATATTTTGTAGGTGCCTGACTATCTTGTTATAGTTAAAAAACCAATGGACATGTCCACCATGATGACTAAAATAGACCTGCATGAATACGTGACTGTCGAGGCGTTCATGTCCGACATTGATCTCATCTGTCGTAATGCCCTGGAATATAACCCAGCTAAAGATCCAGCAGGTATGTATCAACACTTTATTTTGACGACTTCGATTCAGAGTTGTCCTTCTTTATTAGCCCTCATGGTACAGAAAAGTAAGTTGTAACTTCATTTCATTTAAAGACTAAGTTGTGAAAGAAATCCTATTTATGTTATATTGATTACTGGTGCAAGGGTATGATAGGGTTCGCCTTTCTCAGTTGATCCCACCATTTATGTAACTCTGACAGGCATATAGACCCTACTGGAGGGCAAGAAAGAGTGCCCATTATACATGCACACTCTGTTTGCAATTATACGGTATATGCATATCTTCTATTTATTTGATACAATTTATTTTACAACATTAGGAGTTAAGTGGCTAACTTATTGAATTCATGGCCAAATAATTCTCAACCATATGGTGATCACTATGGTGTAAGGGTCACTCCAGTATTTGTACTAATAGTCTTATATTGAATGATTTATTCATGTGTTTGTAGGTCGAGCTATACGACACAGAGCCTGTGCCTTTAAAGATACTGCCTATGCCATAATAAAAGCTGAACTCAACTCAGACTTCGAGAAACAATGTCAGGAAATAGCCCAGGCTAGAAAACGTAGAGGTAGGGAATTCTTTTTAGTTCTTCATTAGAGATAGTTTCACTTTTCACCAAACTTAACCTAAAAAAAAACCTGGTAAACCAGTTGGATATATTAAATTAAGTTGGTTTTCACGTAAAACCTTGTGAGCCCCTGACCAGCTTTGCTGTACGTTTTGACAGATTTTCCTACTAATAATATTTGGTTTATATGTAAAATACGATGTTTATATTGATGATGACAATGTAAATTGTTGAAACGTTGTGTACATTGGAAATGTATACCATAATATTAACAATCTATTGTAACTCTATTTTGCAGGACAAGTGTCGAAAGAGATTCCAGAGTTTTACTACACGGCTCCACCAGTACCTTCTAGAAATAACCCCACACCCCCTCCCCCTAAACCAACTCCTGTCTCTTTACCAGACACAGAACGGTACAGTCGTAGAGTTCGTGGAATCCAGGTGGAAAAACAGGCTCCGCTAGACCTAGTAGAGAAAAACTGGCAGATGGAGAAACGCTTATCAAGAAGTCCCGATAAAAACTCGAGCGAGAAAAGACGCCCCGTGAGTGAAAACACATCTAGTCGAACAAAAGACAATTCAGCAAAGAAAGCTCATAGTGAGACCACTCCCCGACCCCCAAAGAAAAAAGTGAAAAAGTGTATCTGGGCCAGCACGAAGAGACGTCGTCGAACAAAATCAGTGGCAGCAATCTACGATCGCGACTCGGACGCTCGTTCAGGACTGGATACAGACTATGAAGAGGAGGATTCTGATTTTGGGAAGTTGTCAGATCACGAGGATGTCGTGACGGCTAGAGTTGAAGAAATTAAAACAGCTACGGTACAGGATAGTGGGCTAGGCTCCAGTTTAGAAAGTAACGGGGATTCTAGAGACAGTGTAGACCATAGGGTAGGTCTATTTCTCTTCTTAAAACTGGTTTCCCCCTTGGAAAGAGTGTCTAGTCATAGAAATGGGACAATAAACTGAGGGCCCTGTGTGTGCAACAGGCAGTGTACGCTATAAGATCCCTTGATAGTTGGAAATTGAAAATATAGTAATGCCACTGTCCAGGTAAATTTTCCCTCATTACACACTCCATGGTGTATATATTTTACCTGTTTTAGCAATATATTTTAGCAAATGTGTCAATATTAATTTCAGTTAAATGGTGAAACACCTCCAGTTGAACCAGAGAAACCCAGTCGATCTCCGAGTAGTAAAAAACATACAGATACGCCTAGTTCATCTCATAAACACCAGTCAATAACCACTGATAAACCACGGCTGTCACGTTTATTAGATACAGTGGTATCCTCTACTAATAATTATAATATAGAACGTCTAGAGAAACTCTACAGTATCTTCAGTCAGTGTATATACAGACATCGAAAACATTACGATAAAATTCCTCTCATTAAGGTAAGATATGCGCATAATTTTCTGTGATAACTTTTTAGTCAAAGAGGGTTTTGAATTGATACAGTAGTTTTTTTTTTTTTTCATGAATTCATGAATCTTTGTTTCTAAAGGCAAGGCTACAAAGACTGGTGTGTACTCATTTCTGAATTATTGTTATGGCTTGATATTGCGAGGTTAACCATTTAACATTGAGTGTATATATATATATATATATATTGCTATGTTAACTGTTATGCATCTTATTTGTTAAGTAGAGAACAGAAAACTTACAGTATTTTAGTCGAAGGAAATTTCTTAAATTGATGCAGTACATATTCTTAATCCACTGTTTGTATTTTCTTTATAGGAAATGGAGGAGAAGTTCTCTGGTTTTACAAAACAGAAATAGTTTATAAACATATTTGAGGGAGTGGGGCAGTGTGAGAGAGGAAGGGAGGGGTGTGTGTGATAGGGGCAGGGTGAACAAAGAGGGTACAGCAGGGTAGGGGAGGGGAGGGCATTATATTTATTTTTTATTTAATGAACCATTTATAAATATATTTTCAACTGTTAAGACTGGCAGGTCAAAACAAATTAATACAAACCATTTTTTCCAGCATAATTTGAAAGGCAGCTTTTATGAAAATTTTAAGAAAAAAAACAGTAGAAATCTTATAAGCTTAAGCCATTTTGAAAATAATTTTTGGAAGAACTATATTGTACATAACTTTGTATTTGTATATTTTGATAACACAAAAGGACCAAATGTAGTCAAGTTTAGTCGAAACAGTGAAAATTGTAAAAATAAAATGCTCAATGAAATTTTGCTTAAATTCTTTAGAAATCCCAGATAGAATAAAAACACCAGTGAAGTCAAATTAGTCAAAATACTTGCTCTTGAAGATATACTTTAGCTATCATAGCTTCAACTAGACCATGCTCTGATTTCCAAGCAGTAGGTGTAAAATTTTATTTTAAAAAAAACCATAGTTATGACACAAATTATAAGATTTTTTTGTGCGAAAAGTGGGTCAGATTCTCATGAAAATGGCAGGAAATTTCTAGAATTAAATACTCATAATTAAGACTATGCAAATTAACTATTAAAATAAACTAACATGTTGTGATCTCTTAAAATCTGCTGATAAACATGATCAAAACAAACTCGTTAAAATGAGCAGACTTTAAAATTAAAAGTTTAAATTGTTATTTTCAACCATCTCTAACTATTCAGGGTTTATTTATTTATGATTGTAAATATCTACTGTACTCAAAATATTATCTTTTCTAAATAAAAACATTCATTTGCAGTTTTTTTTTATTTTCATATAAAACCCTATAACCGTTTAGACTTAGTATATACTACTCAGTGAGCTGATGAAAGGGGCAGGATGGTGAAACAGTCTCATTGTTACTAGTAGGATAGGGCAATAAACAAAGATTGAATTAGTACCTTCAGTTGTCCATTCTGTTTAATCTCTGTCAGTGATGCTGAAGGGAGAGAAAGACCTGGATAAAGGAACTAGTTGTTCAGATGAGAGATTTTCCCTTCACCTGTGTCAAACTGGTTTTACTCTCTGCCCAGTGATTCAATGGTAGGGATTGACAATGAAAAATTGCTTGGTGTGGACTCATCCAAAGAGAAGTACCATCAGGTGTTTCGTAATGAGTAAGCATTCACACGCAACACCCGCCACTACTATCTAATGGTTCCCATGTTCAAATATAACTGCACAACATAGTATTGTCCATGACCACAGGGAATTATCTATGCCAAGTTTTGGGGACGCTGTTTTAAGCTAATAAAAATTTATAAGTGAATTGGGTAATCATTTATTATAGATATGACACGGGATAGAAATATAACAAAGACATTTACACAACAAAATATCATTTACATAAACATTCATAACCTCGAATATATCAAATCTTGGATGGGACAATAAACCAATGCAGGAAAGCTAAAACTGTTTTAGGGTTGGTATTTGAGCAAAAACTGGTCCAAAAATAGTACAATATGACAATGGCTGTTATGAATATGAAGTATTCAATGTACATTACAAAATGATTCGTAAATATTCCCTGCTAGTTTTTTTACATCCTCTAATAACAACAATTCCTGTATAAAATTATTACCATGTAGTATTTTAAACACGAGACCATTCACAAAAGGTATAATTTTAGCCATTGGTATTTTAACTTCATGTATATCGGTCCTATAATCAAATAAAAAAAATCATCAGTAATTTAAAGGGATTGTATCTCAAAATGAGCTTTTTTCATACGAGACCCTTTGCGATAGTGACATCATAGACCGCTAGGTTTTAGTGGAATTGCTGGAACTTCAGATGTCTGATTGAAAATTGGAATGGTGCAAACAATTTGCCTTATACACATGAAAAATTTAAATACCTCTTTACAATCTCTTTAAATTTTTGGAGATCAGAGACAGTCTGAATATTGAAGATTACTTTCACAATGTCAAGCTAGTACGAACTGCGTCTTGACATTTTGACAAATGCAGTGATTTGATTGGATTGTAGGCTAGGGAATACAACCAATCGGTGCCCTTGACCTCAATAAGCCATAAACTGTCTGTCAAAAGCTCTGAAAGTTGACTATATCTGGAATTTCAACCCATTTCCAAACTGATCAAAAACCGATACTTACTTTGAGTTGGATTGTTTTTTATAATGGTCAGCTAAAAAATCAAATATTTTGGAGAAACCCTGATTTAAACAAGTTGCTAAAACCATTTTAAAGTCATCACTAAAAATACAAGATATATCAATTTTAAAAGATACTAGTTGGATAATCTCCATAGTTAATTAAAATCTACATAGATTGGAATCACAATTCTTTTGTTTGACTTTCTAAAGATCACTCTTCTCATACAATCACACAAATAACAATTTTGGCATTCTTGGGTTCTGTTTATATCCCTAACTGACAACCTACCTGTCTAAAACATCTCTTGTTTCTGTCACCAACTTTTCATACAATTCTTCATCAGGCGTCTTCACCTACAATCATATAGATAGAAACATATAATTTGGTTTTGGACTATTTTGTGATGTAACCATCTTTTAAACATGCTATAAGTGCTGTACAGGTTTCAGTCATCTTGACAAATCATTATAATAAGGAATATATCTATCCACATAATACCTGAGCAGCTGATCCCATGTGATGTCACAAATCTCATAAAATCAACATCCTACAGTTATATACCTTTCATTAAATTCACATTTATCGTTCAAAGGGTTGAGAGTTTGAACAAAATCAGTGACATATTAGTATTACCATAGATTAAGGACCGCAAAGCTTACAAGAGAATAAAAGTTTGCCACTCACTATATCTGTAAAACATTCTGAAGGTAGAAGATAAGACGATAAAGGTAACGCTGAGTTGAGAGTATCATCAATACGACCTCGGACATGTTGTATTACTGCTTCTACATTACTTAATGTTAACTCTTCTCTTAATGCTACACTAAAATCAGACGGGAAAATAAAAACCATTATTTAATGATAGCTCTTCTCTTAATGCTACACTAAAAACAGACAGGAAAATAAAAACCATTATTTAATGATAGCTCTTCTAGTAATGCTACACTAAAAACAGACAGGAAAATAAAAACTACAGGTTGTTCTGAAGGCCACACATTAGCAAATTTCAATTCAAACTAAATCACAGTATTTTTGTCGATTTTGTTACAAGAGTAATAACTCTTTAGCTCTCAGAGTATCATCACAAGACACTCAGACCTACAGAGATTGGTAACAACAACATGCATCCATATTATAATTCCATATGCATCTGACTGACATGGTTATAGCCACATATAGCCTAGCCAAATTGAAAAATAAACGAGTCTTACCTATCTAATTCTTTACTAGTACATTTGACTATTCTGTTTATCAACTCCTCAAAACCTTGAATAAATCAACACAGGTTAATATTAGTCAATAATATCTAGAAACAATCACATTTCATAGGTATTTCAACATACCATCTTTAATAAACATGTTTTAACATCCCAACTTGAATCTCAATCTCAATATATTGATCTTACTCTAAACAGTTATCACTATAATTATACTGTTGAAGCTAATATTGCCATCCTAGAGAAAATTTCCCTCATTGCACACTGCATGGTGTTACCTCAGTCTAATCAGGAGCACAGAACTAGGCTGTTAAACTTACCAGGTCCAACGAAATGTTTAATCAAAGATAAATATCGTTCTTGGACTGATTTAGAAGTTTGGTGTTGAACACGGCTGTTTTCTGACGTCTGAGAACTATCCAGGAATATATAACCTCCGATAATATTTAACTGAACTCGGAGAATCAACGACATCAAACAACAACCATATACACTGGATATCGTACGAGCAAAACCTGGAAAAATATATCAAATTGAGAATCTGATAACTTCACATACAGCCAATCAGAGGCCTGGACAGAAAGTCTGTAACAACTTGCCATAATGTTTACAGTTTGTCTGTCAAGAGCTCTGATTGGCTGTATTCAGTAGCGTACAATCCAATCAAATCAGTACAAGCCGTGATACAAGAAAGGTAGCTATTGTAGTAAAGGTATAAGAGAAGTTTGTAATAGCTTGACATTGTAAAGATGGCACAAGGTATGACAAAGTTGTCGCACACTGGGAGAAAGGATTTGGTAACAATTCTAGTTTGTGTTAAGATGGTATACACTACCCCTAGCTCTAGCCATTTTAATATCAGCAGATACCAATGTGTTTATTAAACCTATATATATAAGAAGTTGTAATGTGATTATAGATTGTTGTGGTTCAATAGATTTTAGGTATATAAAGGTAACTTACTATTTGTTTTTAACAAGGACCATAACTCTAATTTATTAGCTGGTCTGAAACACAAACATGTATGAAAATTACACATACATAAGCCTCAATTTCTGATATTGAAAAGTATAGTCAATTCCTTTATTATCAGCTTTCCAGATGAAAACTTTATATTTAACACACATATCAGAAGCATGAAATGAGCTCTTGCCAATTAGTGAACAAGTCTTGTAGTGGAAAACTTCATTATAGTCACATCAGGTGCTATGAAAAGGGGGAGTCTGCCTTACCTAACCAGAAAAGTTTATCAATAATCAATATCAAGTATAAAACTTACTGATTTTTAAGTTGACTAGTATATTCTTCAGTATTTAATCTACTCAGTAAAATATCTCGAATGTTCGGAATCATTGATATAACTAAAACAAATAAACAATTTACAAATTACTATTACCACATAGTAGTCAACAACCTTCTCGAATCTTGATGCAGTTTCAGACAAAGAGAAAATCCTCAAAATTCATAGTCAGATATTATTGAGTACGAAAACATAACACCTATCTTAGACTCTAAAGACCTTGATAGATGACCATTTTACTGCCCTCTTTACAACATCCAGTTATCTGCCTTGTTTTGTCACACTGTTCCACAATAATGATGAATTTGTTCCAGAGAGGAGGTGCTAAACTCTAGGATTTGTAACTGAAAGTCCAAACACAATAAACACACCTTCACTTACCTGTCATGTTGCAGGTTTTTTGATTACTTTCAAAATGGTGCTGACGTCTACAAAAACAGAAAAAATAAAAATAGAAATTATCTGAACTGGAATTGGTTCATTTGTGAAAACCTAAATTGAAATTTTATGTCGGCAGTGTAAAAAAACCCTAAAAGAAGTTCTATCTAATGTGTAAAGGTCTAGAAACCGGGTATATACTGGAAATATTTTCCTCTACTAATGCAAACTTTTTTACTTATCCCAATAATTAAGCCTTTCCCAATAGAAATGATTTCAAATTCCTGAGGATATCATCCTAAAATACCTGACAAGATTGATATATTCCTGTTCCTCTTCTTCTTTTAATTCTTTCACCCTTTTAACTAAATATTTATACATCAACCAGGACCCTGTAAAATGATAGCCTGTAAATATCATCTTAATCTATGTTGGCTCTCTACAAAGGACAGGTTGGATGATACATTCAACTAATTGCAACTTAGTCTCAGAAACAAGAATTATTCAAGCTAAGCTAATCTGTAATTTCGTTCACAGCTTACTGTCGAAATTTGAGCCTTCAAAGCCATGTGTGTCCAGAATGTCAGTCAGCAAACCAAAATACTAAATAACCTAAAGTGATGCTATCAGTAGGCCTATTATGTTGGCACACCCAAATAAACATTATTAGCTAGGGGGGCTCTACTCGAGAGTTACAACCTCTCCAAATGGAGGCTGAAATGTCAAGCATTTATACGATATAGGCACCACTCTGAGAAATAGACACAAGCGCATATGATTGTGTTTTTGGGATAATGATGATCAACCTTACCTCCGAACAGAATTCCAGAAAAAACGAATTTCTTCTTATGTCTCTTGATGAAATTCCACATCATGCCCAACACCATGATGATTTATTAAAAATTGTTGTTTTTAAATGTTTTTAATGGAGAAAAATAGGGGGTAAAAAGCCAAAAACTTGATCTTTGCTCCTTGCTGTGTGAAAGAAAACAAATCAATTATCTCCCCTTTGATATTAAGAGTTGTCTGCCCTTGTATAAGGAAACAGACAACAACTATTTTATCGACCTTTTACTTCGTCGGGGTTAAAACTCTTCTTTTGTAATTTTCTGGTCAATCCGGCCCGGATATGTTAGCTTAGTGTTTTATATTTTGTTTTAAAATGCTATGATTCAACTTGACGCTTCTACAGAGCTGTCGCATTTTGAATTCCAACCTTGGCGGTTGTCTCCTACCCCAGGTCCGTGGCCGTAGGCCCGTAGCGAGACTGGATTGTTCGGAGGGGCAAGTAATACATCTGGGGAGACAATGGTGTATGGCGTGTAGCTTCAGTAATGGAATAAGTCGGTTGTCGGAACCTTCGCAAGACATTCCATGGGAGACTTGAGCCTACGGCGTTTTCACATAGCTGTTGCGTTTTGAATATCAACCTCGAGAGAGCTTCGGACTATATTCTAGAGTTTTAGGCCTTATTTACTATTTCGCAATGGGCATGCAGTATCATATCAGCCAGTATCAACTAGGGCAATATCGTCAGTCTGGTCAGTGGTCAGTCTGTTAACAACAAGGTATGTATGTAAGCGTTATAAATCATACACAGAAACATTATGGCAAAGTTCTGTCTTCTTTCAGCTAATAATATATCAAATTTTACTAATATCGTCAATAAATTTTGTTTTTTTTTTACATTTATGTCAATAGAAGGGTATCTTTGTGTTCAAAACTTTTTCAAAAATAGTCGGAATTTCAAAAATGAAATCTTCTTTAATGCTCAATTTACCAAGTACTATAAGATAGAACACACTCCAATTTTACTTTTCATTAAGAATTAAAAAATCAAATAAGAGATACTCCATTCATTCTTCTCTCAAAATATCATGACAGCCTGTTTTGGAATTACATTTATAGACTTTTTTTGTTAATATAGTATTTTGATAAAACAGAATAGGGGGCGTATACTCTAGTTTATCATATAGAGTTTTTCAAGTCGTTGATGGTGTCAAGTCCACTGGGTGATAAAGATAATGATAAAAGAAACTGTCCCGTCTTGAGTCAAATTATGCATGATTAGAGAAATAGTATCGGACGTAAACTGTGATACGATTATAGGACTGTGTAATATATCAAGAAGAAAGTTGAAGAGGTCTGTTAAAATAAATATTCTAACCCGTGACTATGATATCACCGGCTACACTTCCTTATATATATCTCTTCAAATATTGGGTATTATAATTTATATCCGTGTGTGGGACATTATGAAGGTTATTGTAGCCTGTTTGTGTGATACTGGGTGCATATTGACCTTGTATTTACTGTAATAGCAGGTAAGACACTATAGGCGAAAATAGGGGGGGGGAGGGTAAGCTTACAGTGTGACAGGGATTACATGGTTCTCGGTGGATAGTTTCAGATGAAATTTAAACTGTTTTTGTTAAGGTTTAAAGGGACTGTAGAATGTCTTTCTAAACTTTTTATGTGTATCGGGAGACTTATGCCATCGATTTTTACCCTTTCAATTGTCAGTCAGACGTCTGTGGTTCCTGCAATTCCACTAGAAACTATGTATTTTGTGACAGCATAAAACGCTTATTTTAAGGATCGGAACTACAGACGTCTGATTGAAAAATGGGTAAAAATCTATGATATCAGTGACACCGATACACATAAAAAGTGTAGAAACACTCTTTACATTTTTCCCTTAATTCATTCGATTCCTCCGTAGCTCTATTTAAACTCGTTTTTTTTATGTTTTTTCAGATTCTCTAGGGACAAATCTTCTATTTATAGACTCATTTACATCTTTAGGAACTAAATAGAACCTGTTCAAAATGAGTGGTTGGCAGCATTCTATATTCGGTTGTTTTGATAATCTTGGAGTCTGTATTATCACCTACTTCGTTCCTTGTTACACCTTCGCTCGAACCAGTGAGCAAGTCGGAGAAAGCTGTCTTCTGTGTGGAATCTTGTATTTCATTCCCTTAGTTGATATCTTTGCTGTCGTATCAGTCCGGGGCAAGGTACGGGAACATAAAGGTATTGGTGGTAGCTGCCTGGAGGATCTGCTCTATCATGTATTCTGTCACCCTTGTGCCTTGGTTCAGGAAGCCCAAGAAATGCAACACGGACCCATGTCAGCTTACGGCATGGCTCGAGAATAGTTTAGGAACATTGTATAAAATCAAATGGATATAGTGATTTAATCTTTTGTGCTAATATGTCTTGATTTAGCCACCCGTATCCTTTCTCAAAACGACGGTTTGTTGATTGTGACGATAGTTTAATTCATCTCGATTTTCCAGACTCGTAAATGTTATTCAATATAGAAATAATTCATTTAGAAACGACGGTTCTTCATTTCAACAATCCACATAGAAATATGAATATTTAGACTTCTGTATCCCTATTAAACAGTTGACTTTGAAATGTCAATCGATGAAAGAAGCTGCAATGTGCACTTCTAAAGAGTTGCCTTATTGACTGTAATCATTCATAACAATATTGTTCTTGTTATTTTATAAACCATTTTGTTATCTCTACGATTTGTTATTGTTATCCTTGAATAAATCATCATACTAAAGTCTAAACCATTCTTACTACAGATAACTACTATAGTACCAAGAAATCTACTAGCAAGTTGAACACAGAGATTCGTATGTCCTCTTATGACTAATTGCTGAAACTTGCCGACTTTTACCTTGTCTCTGATAGCTATGTGCCCAATAGATACAATATTAGAAAGAACTTATGTGAAGCTCCTTTTCTAACCAAACCTTCAACACCAACTTTCAAGTGACTTATCTCTATCATACAAAGAAGAAAGTAAAACTCCATTTCATTTCATGTTTAATTCATACGCTGAAAATCAAATCACTGGTCTGTTTAAACAAGTAAGATTGTATTAAAATCTCAATTCATATTGTTTTAATCATTAATTATATTTCTTATAAAATGATATAATTTTTCTGTGGTAACGAGAATAGTTAAAGGGACAGATGCGCCATTTTGTGGGGTTGATTTGAGTCTTGAATATATGTAAATAGTCTTCAGAAAAAACTAGAAATGTACGAAAATGGCTTAATTCCTTCAAAAATATCTCAAACTAGGAATTTATTTTCCTATTTCTATAGATGTCTTTTTCATATACCTGTATAAAAGTGTCTCAAGGGAGAGACGACTCGTCTTTTTAACTTTCAAACGCGGATAATTCTGGACACACATGGATTTGAAAGCTCAAATTTCGGCGGTGAGCTGTGAACATTATTACTGATTGGCTAAGCTAAAAATTCCCGTTTCTGAGACCAAAGTATGATTGGTCAAAAAAAAAATGGCGCCTCTGTCCCTTAAGAGTACGATATTGAAGGGATTTAGACTTTTCATAATTCGTGCTACCAACTGATAGAAACATATTTCTTTGCGAAAATGATAGTTCCGTATTATAAGGTAAAACAAAATTATACTACCATATACCTTTATGTGCATATTAATTACCCCAAAGACCTAATTATTACATCATTAGACCGAGAATAATGAGATCTAGTCACGCCTGGGAATATATTAACTCTTATTTATAAATAAATAATTTATTTTATTGATCATCTTCAGTTAGTATATTTTCAAGGCTGTCGCGAGTCCAGAAAGGGTTAACTGAATTGACTAGCAGTGGCATCATAATGTTGATCTTTTAAGCTTGAATATAAAACCACTCACTCCAAGCTGAGCTTATCCCATTAGATTACAAATTCGTTTGTCTCTCTTTATTTAGGAGGGGGGGGGGGGTATTTTTCGTTTTCATGGTAATCTTACAAGCTTTCTACCACAGTTCCGTTCTAAGAACGTTATTTTTAATCAATCAAAGTGTGTCATGAAGAACACGTGTCTAGATAACAATGACGAATTACGAGATAACAAGAAACCAATAGTAAAGCAATATCACAGGATTCAATCTGCGATAAGAGTTGGTAAGGTTGAGCTCACACCAAGATTGACGAATGGAAGATAACATTGCGCTGGTGGCTCTCACCACCAGCATGTATCCCTGAAACGAACGAACCTCTGAAGTGAACTTAAAGAAATCCGTGACCCCAAGAAGATATCTGTACGAGACTTAGAAGCTAGCTATGTGTTTGTGGGCCATTGATAAGTTAGTCTGATTTCTATTATTTCGTTGTAATGAAATTTCTCCAATTGTCAGTGAAGGTATTGTTATAAAGTAATTAAGAGTATAATCGATCATTGGTTAGTCCAATCACCTGTCACTTCCATGTATCGATTGGTCTGATCCGCCTAACGTTACCCCTAGCGTTATCTGTCTAACGTTACCTGTCTGACGTTACCTGTCTGATGTTATCTGACGTTACCTGCCTGACGTTACCAGACTGACGTTACCCGATGTTACCGGACTGGCGTAACCAGTAATTTTTGCAGCCCTTTTTTTTAACCTAATATAAGAAATGAAAAATGATAGAACTGTAGCTTACTACCTCTTAGGATGACCACAAAATTACCTGGTGTAATAACTATACAAAAACATCTCTCTATAATCCAATAAATCTATAAAACTAAGTGATAATTCATCAAACTAAGTAATTTTTAAACATTTTTAAAAGTTAAGGGGAGAACCTGTGTGGCTGAACAAGTACACCGGATATCGACTGATGAGAACTGCTTCTATTGGCTCACTTCATTTACAATTTCTTTTTAAACAAAATTCAAAAATAGCACATATTCACTTTATGACAATTTTGAAGATTTCGATCGAAAATATTTCATTTTAATTTTTTCTATAAAAGGTGACTAACAATATTTGTAAAGACAGTTCAAACACCGTGATAAGTGATGATATTTTATTATCTGTCCTTATACAACGGAGATCGAAAAAACTTACCGAACATAAAGCGATGAATATTGGGTGATCGTCTCCCCCCAATCAATGTGACCGACAAAATCTGGAACCTAGAGGAGTTTGGAACACTAGGAAAAGAGATTACCTGAAAATGTGATTATATTTTAATTAGATTATCTCAAATTCACTTTGAATTGTGGAGAAATCACTTTAAATATTAGGAGCAAATCACTTGGACCAACCTCGAAATATATTGAATTGTTCCAGTCCCGGAATTGTTATTTTTGAAGGAATCTGATGTATAGGATAGGCCTACTGATTGATAATGGTTTGTTACCAAGAATTTCTATATTTTGAGTTTTTAAGGCAAGTTAATTTTTTGATGAATATAGTTAAGTGTGTAATCATCATATTAAGCTAATTATATTACCTGTATACCACTTACAATTAGTGAAGAATCACTTATAATTAGACACAACTGATGAAATTCTCTTTTATTCTTTCCTCTACTCTACTACAATAATTTGTAAGAAGTCAATATTTTAAAGACAATCATTTCAATCTGAAAAATTAAAAATTTCAGTTCTTCAAAATTCAGATTCAGATTTAGATTTATTAAGTGTTAAGGTATGAATTAATGCTCAATTGTATATCATCTTTAAAGACAAAACGATTTGCTAGAAATTTCTAGAGTTCTTAGTCTTTAAGGACAAGGTACTGAAACAAGGGATTTGAACTCAAAGCACCCTAATATTTATCATTTTGGAAAGTTCACAAATTAAAAAAGACCTGATTTTTTCCGTGAATTTTGCAGATTATGTGCACAGATTGGAGCCACCAGTAGACTGATGTTTATATACCAGTAGCATTAAACTGACTTAACAATGTTACTGAATCGTACCTTAATCACCATCATTATTTTCGTCCTGTTAGATGTCAGACAATCGTCGGCATCGAACAATTTTATATCAGGACTAATGAATAAGGTTGTTGAAAACGAAACGATATCTAATAACGCTGGTAGTTGGTTAGAGATAAGGAGTAACGTTTACTGTGGTGCGTTTTGTCTCCGTGATCCGTCCTGCACCGGTTTTCAGTTCGGAGATGTCGTGAACGGAAACGTAACAAATACCAGTTGCAGTCTTCTGTATGGAAATGTGAGTCTCTTGACTAGAGATCCGATGCCTGGTATTTCAATTTATAGTTTGGAAAGAGAACCATTTAGTGAGATCGAATCAACGACTCAAGAGTCAGAAACGATAACTCTTGAACCAAAAACGACAACTCTTCCACCTCATGGTCCATGTTCAGTCGACGCTGCCTTCACTCGACAGTTTGATATAGTTATAATCGCAGGTAGGAAATTTTCTGACATTGTTTTTCTATTTCTGTGTATCCTCATTTATCACAAGTTTGACAGCCCGGCCGACATCAAATCCTCGACCCGAGTTTGACAGACAGCTCGACTGACTTTAAATCCGGGACCCGAGCTTGACAGTCAGCTCGACTGACTTCAAATCCTCGGCCCGGGCTTGACAGTCAGCTCGACTGATTTCAAATCCTCGACCCGAGTTTGACAGCCAGCTCGACTGACTTCAAGTCCTCGACACGAGTTTGACAGCCAACCCACGACATTGAATCCTCGACCCGAGTTTGACAGCCAGCCTGACAGACTTCAAATCCTCGACCCCAGTTTGACAGCCAGCCTGACTGACTTCGAATCCTCGACCCGAGTATGACAGCCAGCCCGACTGACTTCAAATCCTCGACCCGAGTTTGAAAGCCAGCCCGACTGACTTCGAATCCTCGACCCGAGTTTGACAGCCAGCCTGACTGACTTCGAATCCTCGACCCCAGTTTGACAGCCAGCCTGACTGACTTCAAATCCTCGACCCGAGTTTGAAAGCCAGCCCGACTGACTTCGAATCCTCGACCCCAGTTTGACAGCCAGCCTGACTGACTTCGAATCCTCGACCCCAGTTTGACAGCCAGCCTGACTGACTTCAAATCCTCAGCCAGAGTTTGACAGCCAGCTCGACTGACTTCAAATCCTCAGCCCGAGTTTGAGAGTCCGGTCGACATCAAATCCTCGGCCCCATTTTTACAGCCCGGTCGAAATCAAATCCCCGACTCGAGTTTGACAGCACGATGGACGTCGAATCTAAAGCTTGAGTTTGAGAGTCCGGTCACATCAAGTTCAAGGCTCGAGTTTGACGGTCCGAATGACATCGAGTCCTCGGCTTGAGTTTGACATCCCAGCCGACGTCGAATTCAAGGCTCGAATTAAGCGTTCAAAAGTACATTGAGTCTTAAATTGATTTCTGCAAAAAATCTTTTTTCATAGTACTAAGTTTGCACTTGAAATGTCGTAGCGTGATAGGCAAGTACTTAGCTGATATCTCCTAAAAGATGACAATAGTAATGTTTTTAATTAAATTGATTGGCCTTGCTAATTAAATACATCAAAGGATATTACCACCAAGTTCAGATTATTGACATAAGTAACAACTTATGTGATAGATGAGATTTTTTCAATGAAAGAGCCAAGATGTTACTTGGTATGACCGGGATTTTGAAATGAAAAGAATCACGCACCTGGTTTTGTTAACCTTTTTTTTTTTAAAAATGAAGTCATTTGGTGCCTTTATCTTGATCGCTTTTTACATCATTTTCTCCTTGACTTGACATGATAATCAATGATCATATACTATCCATTATCTATTATCCCTCTCCATCATCATCCATTATCCATTATATATCACCATCCATTATCCATTATATATCACCATCCATTATCCATTATATATCATCATCCATTATCCACCCTCATTCATTATCATCCATTATCAACCCTCATCCATTATTAACCATCATCCATTATCAACCCTCATCAATTATCCATTATCATCCATTATCCATAATCATCCATTATCCATCATCGTCCATTATCAACCCTCATCCATTATCCATTATCATCCATTATCTAGTGTCATCCATCATCATCCTTATCAACCAGCATCCATTATCCATCATCATCTATTATGCATAAATGTCGCTAAAGGATTATTGTCCGTTATCATCTATTAATCATCATCATTATCTATCATCATTATTTTATCATGTTGTATTTCAATTTGCAGGTGTGTGGATGTATATTTACAACAGTAGTGCGATGCTAAGTGTTGGTCCAATGCAGTCGATTCCAGTTCAAACCTTCCTACCAGGGTGGTCTGGAAGTGTCGCTGCCGCCTACATGGATTCTACAACAACTTTTCTGTACATGATTACAGGTAGGTTAGATTATGTACATGGTTACAGGTAGGTCAGATTATGTACATGATTACAGGTAGGTTAGATTATGTACATGGTTACAGGTAGGTCAGATTATGTACATGATTACAGGTAGGTCAGATTATGTACATGATTACAGGTAGGTCAGATTATGTACATGATTACAGGTAGGTCTGATTATGTACGTGAATTTCGTCCGACTCGACTCGGTAGACTTACAATTATTTCCTTAACGGTATGATATATTACCATAAATTGACGAAGTCTTCAAGAAAAATGACGAGTAACGACACATACCTTGCCTTGTTGTAAACTATTACGTTTGAATATTCCAGTGGGTAATTGTGAAATATTTTGAGGGGAAACGAGGCTCTTTGTAGTCTAGCATAATTTTTTTTGACAATTATAATTTAAGTCTTTCTATTCATTCAGGCTAAGAATTTATAGAGGGAAGGGGAGGTAATGGAATCGATTAAGGATCATGGAATGGGTAATAGAAATAAAAAAAGGTTGAAAACCCCTGGTAAAAGTTGTAGCAAAACCTCACTATTTTGTATGTTACATTACAGAGAATAAAGTAAAAACTTACAGAATGTCTGACAAAATGCTCCAGTCTACAGAAACTACTGACCAGCATTATAGTTCCTTCCCAACCGTACCCCCTGTAATCGATGCAGCCATTCATTATAACGGAAAAAAGATTCTGATTAGCTCTGATGAGGTTTACACTACTACTGGCTCGGTGCCCCTGTCCAGTAAGGGCAGTGCTAACGTGTTTGATTACTTAACAACTTCACCTTCTGGAATCACTGGTGCTGCTTTGAGTTGGATTGCTCGAACACCACTGTTCTTTGCTGGGAGTGCGATACATGTTTTTCAACCCAATGTCAGTAACACACAGGGTTTCTGGGCTCCTTATGGTTTTCTTAAATGTACAATTTGAAGTATTTACTCTTATCGTCATATTTTGATGTAGAGATCACAGTAAATAACTAAACACACGTACTTCTAACGTATTTTACCCTTTGATTAAGTCTAACTCTGTCGTAGCACCAAAATAAGAAATGTGGACACCCTATTATTGTGCATAATTTAATACACTTATTCTAAACGCAATCTTATTAACTCTTTCTCTTTTTCGTGATATATATTTATTCTTAATTGTAATCTAACAGAATTTCCACGACAGTCCCGTTCTAATGACGCTATTCTTAACCAATCAAAATGGGTCATTTAGTTTTATGTGCCCTTAACGTGACGGTGGGTAGAGATCACATTTAATAAATTCTATCGTATATAACCTTTGACTTTAGTATGGCTTTTCTGTAGCACCAAAATGTGGAGTGTGTGTTTAAATAGTTGATGCTTTTCAATCAATCTATATAATAAATATACACCACGATGTGTTAAAAAAAAGTGTTTTATTTCAGTCATAATAGATATAGTTATATCGTATGCTATCTATAGATAAACTCCGTAATACGGATGCCGAGTTGTCAAATCAAAAAGCAGATTTGCATGAGTTGTTCTGAAAATTGGGCATATCCTGGCGAGCTGACGACACTCGAAACAGATCATAATGGATATCAAGCGCATTAGCATTCTTAAATTAGTTCTTAGACTACATAGAATAACTAGGTTTTGGGGAAAGAGGTTTTACTTGTACCAAAAAAAAAAGAAAAAAATTCCGAAAAAGCTACGAATTAAATTCTTTAAACTACATCTATTGAAAAAAAAAACAAGATTCACTTCATAATAATCAATATGAACAAACATTATTGACAAATCCGTTATTCAATTACTGTAAACACATAGAAAGGATTTTAGCAGACTTGTTGTTATATTGAAGCAGGCGTATAATAAGGCTTTAAGAAAAATTTCTAAAGGGATTGTAAAGACACTTATTTTGTGCAGAGTTGCAAGAACCATAGACGTTTGATCGAAAATTGGAATGGTGCAAATTTGTGCAATCACTGTCGCTGATGACATAACAAATTTCGAAAATCTGTTTACAATCCCTTTCAGTGAGTTAGCAGAATGACGTTTTTTACTCGACATGTCTGATTTTGCGTGTCACCCACATTGACGTGAGTTCTTGGGATTCTTTAGTGGAGTCGTCCGAATCCCAACGACTGCTGATGTTTTCTACCATCCATTTAAGATGCCTGTAGAACGTGGGGATGTCTGAAATGACTGCCAGTAAGAGAATGGCGAGTAAAAACCCTACTCCTAACAGTCCAATACCTACAGCGCTAGGGCGGTTATCAACGATTGTCTTATCACGGTTTTTAGGTGGGGTGACGATCAGGAAATCGTAACTTTTGGAAGTAGTTGACACCGGTAAACCTGAAAAATTTAAAAAGGAATTATGTTGAAAATTATTGTAGCCCTTTCTTTATTAACTTTTCACATACAGGCTCTGGACATCCGCAATCTAAAAAAGACTTTTTCACAAGTCACAATAGCCAAATTGACATTAAAAACATTGCTAACTGAAAATACACGTGCATAATGATCAACAGCCGGCCCGCTCCCAAATATTAGAATGAAATTATGCAAGGCTTACTCTTAGTGGTAGTGGGTGTGGTAGTTGGTTTAGTTGTGGGCGTAGTTGTAGGCGTGGTAGTTGGTGTTGTTGTTGGCGTAGAAGTAGGCGTGGTTGTTGGTGTAGTAGTAGGTGTGGTTGTAGGCGTAGTTGTAGGTGTGCTAGTTGTGGGCGTGGTAGTTGGTGTTGTTGTTGGTGTAGTTGTAGGCGTGGTTGTTGGTGTAGTAGTCGGTGTGGTTGTAGGCGTAGTTGTAGGTGTGGTAGAAGGCGTGGTTGTCGGCGTAGTAGTTTGTGTAGTTGTAGGGGTGGTAGTAGGCGTGTTTGCTGGTGTAATAGTGGGCGTGGTAGTAGGCGTGGTTGTAGGAGTGGTAGTAGGCGTAGTTGTCGGCGTAGTAGTTGGTGTTGTAGTTGGTGTAGTAGTAGGCGTGGT